TTCAATTTTGTGTTTTGTTTGTGATCACCACAAAGCAAGGATTGACAGCAGATGCTGGGGCACCTCTCAGTACAAATGCAGATATTCATTGAAAAAAAGCTTTCATAACAACCTTCTGAAAAAGTTCATGTCAAAAACACTAATTTGTTTTTTTTTAAAATGCAATAAATAATGCAGTAATTATCTCAGTTAATTACATCTTTGGCATACATGGTTAAGTTTCATCTTAATTATGGCAGGATATTAGGCAGCTTAAATTCCCTTTGTAAACAATGTTTGCAAGTTTTCACATATGGTTCTTATGGTGTTTGTTGTTAACTATAAATAAATGAGCATCAGGAAGGCTGCTATTTATCTTGGCTGGGAGGAAAAAACAGGATGATAGCAAATTGCTTCCTCTATCAAGCATTCAGTTTCAAAATCTGCGGGAGGGAAAATTGAGGTATGTCAGCAGTGCTCATTGCTTTATCAGGAACAGTGAATAATACAAGAATATTAATAGTCTCACATACAATTTGATTTATTAATGCTTATTATGGTGAATGTCTGCTAAAAGTTATGTTATTTAGAAACAGGAATACATTGTAAAGTTTCCTTTTTAGTGCAATTATATTAAAGCTTCTGAGTTTATTGTATCTACTTCTGTTGCTCTCTTGTAGCTTCACAGGAAAGAATGTTGTGGCTTTTCAGCTTAAATGAGCAACATTTTTCACTACTGTTGCCCTACCAACATGTCTTAACACAGCTTTGCTGGCTGCTTATAAAAATCCAACCAACTAGCAGCAATGCAGTTTTGTATAAATACAAAACCATGGTGACGGACATCCTTCCACTGACCACAAACCATTTATATCCTAATAATGATGATCTCTTCAGGATGATCAATGCCATTGTGTCCTCAGTGTTTAAACAGCCTGAGAAAAAAGTAAACCAAATCACAGTCTATGACCAACCCTACTAACCAGAACCCAACCTTGTTGAAAAGTAGAGTCTGAAGTGATCTCTCGGCCAATATTTTCCACTGTCATCAAAAGAACATGAAACCATGGAATTCATTATAATAATGTGTTTTGTGCATTGTAAATCTGTCAGTATCTATTATCAGTGTTATTTCTGGAAGTGCAAATTTATTTAGAGATTTTTCCATCCAACATGTGACAGCAAGTGTGTAATAATAAAATAAGAGAGGCTGCTGATTCCTCTAGGAAGACTCTCTCACAGGAAGTATATTCACATCCATCCCATATGCTGATGGTTATAGTTTTCCTTTAATGAGGACTCCAAGGCAGCAAATGACAGTCATAAACTGACTAATGAAGATCACCACCTGCTTATTGAGTACAGACCAGATACGTCTGTCAGCTGTGTTGACCTTTTTGTTTGCATTTTGATGTCAAAAACACCTACATTCAGCAGCTTTAAACCAACTTCTGGTCTGGCAGAAGCATTTCTAATAGGACTTCAAAGTCTTTTTCCCAGAGAATGGAAACAAAGTACAGACATGCATCGCATTAAAGGAAACATAGTATAAAAATCACCCCACTGTGAAGAAGTTCTGTTACATCTGCTGCTGGTGTGGGGTAAGTTTCCCAGCATTGGGCTGAAACCAACAAGCGCTTACAATGGGAAACAGTCACATTTCCCTGAATGTATAGTGACATGCATGAAATATTTTCTCATTGTCCCATGAAGCGCTGTAAATGTCATCACCTCCCACACAGCATGTCCAGGCAACAGACGAGTGCATGAATGGAGTTCAATGTGTATTCTTTATATTCACTGAAACTGACGATTCCTCTTGTTTTGTTAGGAATTACTCAAACATTAGTTCAAAAGAGGAAGGAGTGATGGATGGAATGAGAGGTGGGTTGAAATGAAATGATTTAGCATGAGGATTTAAGGATCTTTTTTAATGAAAACATTTTTATTTTTACAATATCATGCATTGCAACCGACTAAGTGCAAGAATGCAGGAAGTTGTAGGTCTGCAGGAAGGATGTTTTTCAAGGTTAAGATTGGTCAATATGTTTAACCAAACCACAAAGTAAAAAGATCTTTTGATGTACCGAATGTTCCCAAAATTAGTAAAAGCACTTGTGGACGGGTTGTCAGAAACAGAAATAGAATCTTAATACTTGTTGACATTTGTGACAAACATGTTGACAACTTTGCTGTTTGAGTGACTGGTCTGTGCCTGTGTGTGCATGTGAGTGTGTGTGTGTGTGTGTGTGTGTGTGTGTGTCTATGTCCAGTAATTGTGTCCAAGCTTTAGCTGATCTCAGATAAGCAACAAACAGTCAGCTCACATCTCAACACTCACACGCAAACATGAAGGACACAATACTGGAAAAAAGACCATGAACTCACACACATACTAAATATGCAAGCTCTTGCTGCCTACAGGTATACCTCCCCTGTAGCCTTTATGTAGCAGTAGTATTAGTTCTAGTATGTCACTGATTTTATGAAAAACTTTTTAATGCAATGCCATATAAAGGAGTACTCTTTAGTCATTGATTTCTGAACCAATATGATGTATTGTATGTATTATTTTACTGAGTAAATCTGATAATGGGGATATCAGCTCGCTATCCTTTATTCTTCTCTTTCTTCCTTAAAAACATGATTCTAGGTGATTTTATCCTCCAATCTGCCAGAGTTAATTAACACAACTCTACATTTACACATTCCTCTTTCTAATGACAAAGATTGAAGAGCTTTGTACATGACAAAATGGAATTTAGGGCAACTTAATTAATCTTTGTAGTCTTTGTTCCTCAGCATAGTATAATGGAAAGTGACCTAGTTTCATAGCTCTCTGATAATGGAAACGAGTGAAATGTGTAGAAAGCTCAGCTACAGGACCAAATCTGAGGCTGAACATTACGTGCACTGGTGTTCCAAGGTTACTTGTTAACTTCCAGAGGAAATGTAAACTCTTTCTAATAACAGTGTCATTATGGAGCATCCAGTGATTCATTTATCCCTGTCCCTGGTACAAGGAGCAGTTTGCTTTCAAAAACACTGCAAAGACACTGCTGCAGAATGACAGATATTATCTTTCAAGAGTTATGATGCCTCTCAGTGCCAACAATATAATCCTTGTTCTTTTTGCTTTCTCCTAAAACTGGTAAATCTGCTTTTTAAAAGGGAATCCATTCAAAATCCATCCATGACTTACACATCATCACCACCGCGTCTTCAATACGCACAAACTATTATGACCACACCTTAAAGCAGCTCTAGTAAATGTTTTCATATTAACAATAGATTAAATGAGCATATGTGATGGGAAATGTGTCATTTGTAGTCACGAACGCTTATTTTCACCAAATTCTCTCAGACCTAGGAGTTGTTCTTAGCTCACTGTTTTACTGCCCTGTCTTCTTCTGGTTCAATCTTACGGCTCTCATGAGTGCTGTTTCCAGATGCAGCAGGAAGCTGTTTTCAGCAAACACAGCTCTGATAAACTCACCCTACTTGCTAAAATTTTGCACCTCAGAAACTGACTAGGCCTATCGCACTTACATTCACCGAAATTAATGATAATGTGGCAACGTTTGCCAGATGTTAAATAAGCAACAGCTCGCTAACAAGTTAACTATATCAATGTTATGTGGTGGAAATATGTCAATATTGTAATTACAGCTTGTTACCCTGCCCCCAAGTGGACGGACAATGGAGACAAACAAGAATATTTTCTAAAATGTGCGTCAGTAAACCAGTTAGTATTCATTTGGATGGTCTTCACTACTTGTCCTTTCCCGTTTTTGTCAAATTGTTCTTTATTATCTTTATTTTTGTCTAATTTACGATATCTAGTCTTTTGCTACAGTATGGTCCCAAGTATCTCAATATCGCACATTGAGGGAAAAGACAGATGGAACAAAAATCTGTTGTCATACATGTCAAAGAGTACAATTTAAAATTCAAGCAGCATTTGTTCTGTACAAACAACCACACCTGCCTCTCAGCTTCAGCTCCAGTTTCACATGAACAATCCCTCTGTCCTCAGTGTTACCACAGAAATTCGAAACCTTACTTATATATTTAGAGACAAATAGCCCCTGTCGGCGTAAAATATTGCCAACCTTGACACCTGAGGTCTTTGGTAATGGTCATGGTAGATGCTTATGTGTGTATGCTGCCCCTGTTTGTGTGCACACATTGAAACAGAATAGGAATTGTGTGCGTGTCTCAAAGTAGTCATAATGCAGACTGAGGGGGTGAGTTTTAAATGTGATGCTTGTGGTTTTTTTTGTCAGCTTGAAGGAATTAGCTTGTTATGTGTCTTCACAGCATGCTTAGCGGTGTCCTGGTTTCACACAAAAAAATGTAGAAACATTTCAGAGGGAATAGGACTTAAATGTCAAATTAAGTCAAGATTTTTTCAGTGTCTTACTGCCAATCATCCAACCAACAATAAATGTTTCAAAAGAGATTTTCAAAAACACATAACCCCAGATGGTTTTATTCCAAGAAATGCCCCTAGAGCTCTTTAATGTCTCCATATTAAGTATAATCTGTATTTCACTGTTGTATCCACGTCATTTGAATCCAAATCAATCCAAATCAAATGTGGCATTTTTAAGTATTGTTGTGTATTCTTGTGTACATGTTTAACTTTTAAAAATGTATTTTGTCAAAAATAACCTCTCCCCGGTGGTTCCTTCCATCCTAAGCTGACTCTACATTTTTCTTGGCTTCGATCTTGCCCCTTTGAATCTAACCTTTATCCGGTTACCGTGGTGTTTAAGGCCCTGCTCCCTCTGCTAAAGACATTAATTTTGGACCTCCTCTGCTACTATATAGCCGAACACATATAGGGAGGGGGAAAAAAATCAGTTATTAAAAAATGAAGAAAGTGTTGAGACGATGAAGAAGCAAGGTGATAGGCATGTTTAGGTAGAGGGATTTACTCAGGGGAATACTAAAGTATTAAATGGTGCTCATTATCTCTCTTCTCCTCCTCTCCCTTTGCTTTTTCATTCAATCGCTTGAGGAGAGGAGGAGATGAGAGGAGACACTCCCAAACTAACTGCCCATTGGCCTATAGGCATTTTGGGAGAGATTTTAACAATTGGAGAGGGAGGGAGAGAGCAAAAGTCACTGCAAGCGTAGAGGTCTTTGAATCACTGGCCTGGGCCTGTCAACAGGTGGCAGAGGGAGAGGCTTGGTGACGTTCAGTCCTTTAGAGAAAAGAGAGAAAGAAAGAGAGTAGAGGAGGAGAAAGTTAAAGAAAATCCACAAGGGTAAGGCAACAATTTAATTTTGTCAATTTTACCTTACTGACTTTACCGTCTTTAATTATTGAAGGATTTAGTTTACTGGCCATTATTAGTCCAATTAACCTGTTTATGTGTGAAGTTTTACTGGAAGGCTTTGTAAGATTAGATTGGGCATTTATTGTACGACGTTAACATACAGACTAAATGGAAGTTATATTTGATGAGTATCAAGAGAAAAAAAACTTCAATGACAGTAGTTGATTTAAAGTTGTTAAATCTGTTGTGTTCAGAGAGAGCAAGCTCTTATTTATTTCTATATGACCCCATGGGGACCAGTTACATGTTTTCTTCCCTTTTAGCCCTCTTTCTCTAGCCATCAATCTTTCTCACACTACTAATTCTGTCTCAGCTGGTTCTCAGTGTGTATTTCTCTCCCATCTCCCTTTCTTCCTCCATCTAAACTTCCCTCAGTTTAACTTGTAACCTGTAATTTAAATAATATAATTTATTTATATATATGTCCTGGACAGGACTGAAGCTGTTGTTATGTTAGTTTGCATTTGCTTGACAGCACCTTGTCTGTAAGACATTTGTGGAGATGTTGGTCAGTGATACTGATACAATACTGATATGTGGTAGGATTTTGACACTGAATGAGCGTTTGTAAAGTAAGGATGCTCAGTTGTTGAGTGTGATTTCTTTCTTCATTCACTAAAATCATTGAATATACTGTATATTGTTCTGCGGTTGAAAGTAACTAAGTTGACTTTACTCAAGTACTGTACTTAAGTATAAATCTGAGGTACTTTTACTTTATTAGACAATTTCTATTTTATTCTATTATTTTATTTTACTTTATCCTTCTATCCCACTTCTCAGAGGCAAATATTGTACTTTTTCACTCCATTACATTTTAAAACATGAAGCCATCTTATAAAATAAGATGTATTGTTGTAGATTCAACTACACAACAGTATGAAACTGTTTAAAGTAGCTCAACTTTGACCAAAGTACCTCTACCTGTTAATGCATCAAAAATAAATCATTCAGTAAACCATCCAATGATATAATAATATTACGCTGACAGGGTTCATTTATCATGCATAAGTGTACTTTTACATCAGTAACATTTTAAATGCATGACTTTTACTTGTAATTAAGTATTTTTATATTGTTACTTTTACTTAGTATATGTCAAAACAATAATACATATATCAACAAAGTTATTTTCCCTTTGGGGAAGCTGTGACAGACAGCAATGTGTATTTGAGGTATTATTTATGATTAGTATATCCAGTTAATATCCACATTGTACTGTAGATAATCCTATATTGTCTGTCAACAAAGCTGCCAGCACTAATTTCCCTCTATGATAATAACATAAATATTTATAATAACTATGTGCTGGGGTGATAGATATTCTCATAGGGCTGTCGATCCAGTAGATTTACCTTTAATGCTACTGTGCTGGCTCAGGGAATACACAGAAGCCCTTGCAAAATGAGCTACAGATGTGGGCCCTCAGCCATGCAAAATGATAGAGAGAGGGAGAAGGAGAGAAACGGAGAGAGAGAGAGAGACACACACAACCCTGAGTGGGTGGCTTATAAAAAGTGTTCAGATTGCATAACATGACTCCTTTCATGGAAACCTCAAAACTCCAGTTTTTTCATTTACTTTTTTTGATTGAAAATGACCCCTGGGCACATGAAAGCCACTCAAAACACATTTTTATTATTTTAAAAACTTATCGCTGTCTGGAACTTAGGCTGTTTTAATAATGCTCGGGTTGTGTTCTTTTTCTATCTTTTCAGTTGGTTAGGTTTTCATCTGACGGCCCCACTAAGGGGAATGGAGCCTCTATGGTTCTGATGAAGCGAGGTCCTTATCGAGGTCTACTTGTGGTCTGTATGGCAGCAGGAAGCAGACAGAATCATGAAGATATGAGCTTTGCTCTCAGACGATAATTGCTTTCAGCTTCGTCTTATTCAGTTTAGTTTCCCTGTTCTGTCTACAAGCTGCTGCAAGGGGAGGGAAAGAGGAAGGGAAAGGAGCTTTCACAAGTTTATAACCGCACATAAAGGCACGATCTTGCTCCCCTTTTTAAACCCTCTCTTCTACTCATCCTCAGGCTTGTGGGTTTGGTCCAATGAGATTTGCCTTGAGCTGAAACCTGGCAAAACAGTCGGCCTTTTGTCTGAGGCTTAATGGCTCTCCAGAGAGGATAGGGCAAATGTGCACAAACTGACCAAGTCCCCTGCTTCTGCCTATCTCTCTCTGTGTATCTGTGGTCCCAATACTTTTTTTTGCAGCTCTTTGTCTTTGTTTCACTCATAGTCTCCCCCTCCTTTTCTCTGTTTATCCAAATGTTTAGTGCATTCACTGTTCCCAAAGCTCTGAGAGCAAACAGAGATTATTAGAAACACACACAAGCACATGGGCATTCTTACAGCTTGTCAGGAAGCCTTCAGTGAAAGGCATCTGTGGATCCAGACAGTATTGTCTCCAGGTGATTAAACTGTGGGTGTTACCTTTGGAGGGAATCCCCTCTTGTCTCTGTAAGCTATAAATGACAAGTTTTACATATATACTGTACACACATGGGTCCAATGCACTTCTTTGTCTCATATAGAAGAGTGAACACACATCACCAGGTAGTCAACAAACATTTTACAGGCCCATTGACATAGCTCTGCTTTGACATAAAGAAGTTATTGTCAGGAAGGAATTTTTAACTGTGTTTATGGACATGTTGAATTTTACTTGAGAGGGAAAGCCAGGTTGAAATGCAATCTGGATGGGCCATGAGAACATCCACCAGGCTGAAGCCATTCTGTTTTTCTGATTTATTCTGCAGTCTTATGCATATTGACTGCTGACAGTCAGCTGCCTGAAATAATGAATTTGCTGGACATTGATATCAAACCAGAGTTCAACATCTTTATATTACTGGTCCATTGTACAACATCCAGTAAATCCCTTCTGTTTTCTCCAAAATTCAATTAACCTATCATCCGTCCACCATTCACTGATTTATTTATCTATCCTTTCAATCATTTATCAGTCCATTGATCCACCCACACATACATTCAGCCAACCGAGCACTCATCTGTTGATCATTTATCCATCAATCAGTCAAAATATTTCTCTATCCATCCATCCATCCACCCAACCATTCTTCTACCAATCCATCCATCCATCTCTCCGACAGCAATTCTTAGATCTTGCAGCGCCACTTCCCCCTCTATCCCCCATTTCCTCTCTCCATTAATCCCTCCATCTGTCTTTCTTTCCTAAACCGGGACATTCTTAGCAGTCAGTAGTGGCCCTCTGCTATGCTTGGAAGGTCGCAGTGCTATCTCCTCCAAGAGAAATAAGAAAAGGGCCTGAAAACGGCGAGCATCAAATAAAACCTTGACAGGGAGCCATAAACATGCTTGTTAAGCATCTCTGCGCGCCAGTGCTCAGTGCCACTCCACACGGCTATAGTATACTGTCTATAATGTGGCTAACTGCTAGGCTGTCACTGATTCAAACACACTCCCTCCATCATCCCCTCTATCACCTATTCACTCTCTCTCACTCACTTAATCTCTCTCACTCTTTAACTTTTTTCATCTCTATTTCACTTACTTTCCAGTCTCTCTCCATCTCCTACCCCTAATGTCTCTTTTACCTCATCTCTGGTTTGCCCTCCAAAGTCTTGGCCATTGATAAAACACCCACTAAGGTTTTGGCCACCATATAGGGTCAAAAAAGCAATTTCCCAGTGATGTCATAGCTTGGATTTCTTGCACTGGCAGCAGTCTCCGACCTCAAGCTTTTGACCAGCAGCAATCAAAAAGACAGCTAAAATAACCAAACAAGGTCAGCAGTATTGAGTTTGGACTAGTTAGAAACAGGTCATGGTAATTACATGTCTATTTGTCTCCCTTTAAAAGGACCGGAGAGTTTTGAATCACAAAACTACTTGAGTTACATCCTGTGTAAATCATCAGAGTAAAGATTCATAAGCCAAAGTTTATTTGACTGAAGTAGCTTTCCACTTCAGCTATTGAAAAAATTACATAAAAACCTTTTCAGACCACTGAAAAGGTCAGGTGTTCGCACTGCTCAGAATCTCTGTTAATCTGATAATGGTATCATTATGGTGGCTGGGGGATTGGTGGGTTTAAGGTCCACTTGTTGACATTTTAATGTTCTGGCCAATGCTCACACCGTGTCCAGTGGGATTTTTAGGATCTGTTTCTTTCCCTGCACATTTTCTACTTTTCCATCTGTTTTAGTCTTTGATGCTCAACAGGCAAATGTTTTAGCTTCCAACTGGTCAATTTCTCCTTTTCAAAGTTGCACCTACTTAAAAAACTGAATAAATTTACTGAACGACAAAAATACAAATATTTTATTCAGCTTTTATTGGTCCTGCTGGAATATTCTTTGCTCAAAATAAGAAAGAACAAGAACAGATTTCTTCTTTCATCACAATGTTATGCTCACAAAGTCTGTGATTCCTGTCTCTCTTTCTTGTTTCTGTCACATACAGTATGTGCGGCATTATAACAACTTTGGGGTTTTGCAGAGCATGCATGTTCCATTAAATAACCCGGCATGATTTCAAACAAATCTAATATATTTATTTAAGCATGTATGCTACTGTATATATTGCTATGTAGTTTTCCAGTTGTCAAGCAGTGGCCCCCGGCACTTTATTGCAGAGCTTTAAGTCACTCTATTAGAGGTTTTGTGTTTCCATAGACCACACAAGCTCAGCGCAGTCGGATTAGAAGTTCCCTCTGCCGCAATTTAAACTTTTACACCCGAATGTTAAATTCAGACCAAGGTCCAAAAAAGACCTACTGAAGGTTAAAACAGGCCTGCTATTTTGAAAGCATGTAATTTGGCTTCCCGGGGAAGCCGCTGCAAGGTTTTGAGTTCACATGACATCACTGTCATTAGACACAATGACATCACTGAGGACCAAGTTTCTGTTCTCTCTGAAGCTCTGAAACGCCTGACTGAGCACAATTTATGGTTTAAAGAAAAAGGATCTCTGGCAAAGTGATGACTGCTCACTTTCTGTTGCCATACTGCAGAATAAGAGTATAACACACACACACACACACACACACACACACCACAGTGACATAATGGTTCAGGTTTGATTAAATATACAGCAGTGTGCCCCACTGAATGTAACTTATGCATTGTCCAGGTTGTATTTCTTTTCTCAGCTCTTTATAAAACACTGACTGGAAAGCACAAACGTGACCCTTCTTTCAACCCCGCAGACTCAAGTCCAGTCAGCCATGAAGACAAACATCTACAGTTTTGGTAGTCTGTTACAAATAGTTCATGCCAAAGATACAATCTCTACATATGCATGTATAAACTCACACTACAGATGGAATATATACTTCATCCCCATATGAAACACTGTGCCATGCCACTGTGAGAATATTGGAAGTGAATTTGATGTGGCCAAAAGAGGTAAAAAATCTATTTTATTTAAAAGAATAATCCATCCTTTTTGGAAATATGCTTATGAAGTGAGCCAAGTTTAGCTTAGCTCAAGCCCAAAAGTAAAAAAAAGACATGAATCAGTACCAATATAGCTCAATATTTAACATGTTGTATTCAATTTGTACTTTGTACATTTGCACAAAATGACAACTTGTGGTTGTACAAGGTTGTGCTTCGGTCTTTGTGCTAAGCTATATAATTATCTCCCAGCTCGATACTTAACACACAGACATGGCAGACGTATCAAACTGCTCATCTAACTCTTAGAGGGCTAATGAACAAGTGTATTTCTTAAAATGTTGAACCGTTCCTCTAATGATGTACCATAGCGGGCTACCACTGCAATGAATATAATAATAATAACTACTTTTTCTACGTTTTTCTTTTCTTTCCTGGAACAACCAGGGCTGTTCAAACCACAAACTACCCTTCTTTCCATTTTACTACTTCATGGAAACAATACATTTATGATAGCTGTTAGCTTGGAAAGGGTCATTCCCTCCTTTATTTGAGTAATCACGGTTACTTTCCTGTCAGAGTTCTGTGTGCTCGCAGATGCTGTCCAAATAAAAACAGATCTTACAAAGAGGTTCCCTAAATACCGTTTTTTTTAGATTTATCAAATGTATTACATTCTATGTTTACCCTTAAATCTAGCCTCTTGCTTTTAGAGGGCTCCACAAATCTGCGTAAAATCAGCAATCAGCATTTTGTGTGTCCTGTGTGAGCTGAATGTCTGTCTGTGTTTCAGAAAATAATAGTGTGATGGTTCAGAAAATAATCAATCAATAACCTGCTCTTATCTTGTCCTCTAGCCATGACCACCAGATTCCTGTGGAGGGCCCGGTCCCTGCTGGCCCTACTCTGCATCATATCACCGTTCTGCACCGCCAACAACAACCCAGACCCCTCAGCCCCAGAGCAGGGAGTCACCTTCAGCCATGTCTATAAAATCGACAGCTCCAGTTGTAAACTCGAAAGCCTGCCAACCCAGGGCGAAACAGGTCATGAACAAAAATAATAAATAATTAGAGTAACAGAGAATGCAACTGAGAATAATTACAGATGACAAGGAGCATGAGTATGCAGAGAGCTTAGAAAATTGGATGAAAATCTGTAAATAACCAGAAACCAGAATGAAAGGAGCTTATAAATTAACTGTTTACATAAGAAATATGATAAGAATGAGATGTTTTGTTATGTTAAAGGAATGTAGATTGATATTTGAAATACTTCCATTATTAATCACATACTGGATGTGGGCTAGAGGTACACATTACCTGTATGTTATGGCTCATGAATTTTTGGTATGTTTTTGGTCTTTTCAGTTTTTGAATAGTATCTAATGCCTATTTAGATTCTTCACCTTGAAATTAATATTATACCAAATAATCTGTCTCATTGTGTGTTAGCATTATTACCCATTATCGGCCTACATGTAGAATGGTTGCATTTTTGTCATATTTTGTAGGTCTGCAGACAGAAACCACTACAAATGGAGAGAACGACATCATCTTCAGACACAACATTAGGCTGCAGACACCAAAATGTGACTGTGCGGAATCGGAAAGCTTTAAGTCACTCTTGTACAGAGTCAACGGGCTGGAGGAAGAGGTCAACTACCTAAAGACCCAGTGTACTCAGGGATGTTGTGGAAAAGGTGGCGCTGCAGGTAAGCTGTGCCATCATATAGGTAGGAGACTGAACTGGGAAGTCAACTCTAACCCAAAATCTGGGTAAACGAATTTGGAAAAAAGAGATTGCAGTAGGGAGGAAGCTGCAAATAATGTTATTTTACATCTGTTTAGGTCTATTTTCCATATGTTTATTATAGTCTATAGCAGGTTAAGCTCATGTAGAAGGAATATAATCATTTGAGAGCAAGTGAAGAGATTTGTACAATTTTAACCTATACAGTTAACCATTCAGTAACACATTTTCACCCTTCTTTCTCAAGGAGTGGACACAAGCTGTAGTGGCCATGGTACCTACCAACAGGACACCTGTAGCTGCCTCTGTAACCCAGGATGGGAAGGCCCAGACTGCTCCGTGTCCTCCTGCCCCGACGAGTGCAATGACAACGGCCGATGTGTGGATGGGAAGTGCGTGTGCCATCAGGGCTACACTGGAGAAGACTGCAGCCAGCTGATGTGTCCAGACAACTGCAACGACAAGGGACACTGCGTGGATGGAAAATGTGTGTGTTTCCCACACTTCACTGGCGAGGATTGCAGCATCCAGAAGTGTCCCAATGACTGCATTGGTAATGGCCAGTGTGTGGACGGCCAGTGCATCTGTGATGAAGGCTTTTATGGAGAAGACTGCTCATTAGGTAAGCTTTTCAAATCCTTGACAACACAAAATCTATGTTTGTTTTCATTGTATGCATAATAACTTGGTAAATAGATGGTAAAGTAAAGGGAGTAAAAATACCCATGGGCGAGCTACTATGTCACAATACATCTCCAGTCTGTTAACATTGATCTTATATTTTCTCTGTACTATGCCTTTTTAATTAAATTTCATTGAATCACAGATGCATTAATTTGTTCATCACTTTATTTTTGCATCTGTTAAATAAATAACTTATATACTGCAGTATCCTCCAAATCCAGTGTAATAGAGGAAGGGTTATAAAGTGGGAAATGGAAAATAGAAGTCAAAGTAGAAGCACCTAAAAATTGTACAGTAATTAATTGAGTAAATTGACTTAGTTACAATCCACCACTGATAAGTTCACACTGCTTATTACAAAGACTTGTGTTCAGTATTGCAGCAAATTCCAGGTAAAATAGATGGATTCACAATGAAATTTTGTTGTTACATTGGCGTGACGTTATTCCTTAAAGTGGAATGTTCACCAGCATATTTTCCAGTCTATTTGACCCTAGCAGACATACTGTAGATCATTCATACAGGTTTTGCTCCTGTGGGCAGTTCTTATCCTAGCTACCAGAAACATTTCTGATGTGTCCTGTAGAGATTAATCGTGTCTGAGTAAGCATATTCCACATGATCTTTTTATGGGTAAATTAAATAGCTCAGGTGCAGCATAATAACTTTTTATGACCCAGACTTGCATTCAGTTTGATCTGTGTTTCTCATGAGAATTTATATTCACATTTCACATTTTCATTTAGTCACCTCTATGACTCTTCTGACATTAAGCTGTGAATATTAACTGCAAACTCATGGAAAACACAGATGCTACAAAGAGCTCTGGGACCATTAAAGTATAACACTTGCCCCTTGAGCCCAGGTCACCTTCATATAGGTTTCCTCCCAGTATCATTTAGTAAACACTTTTAGGCTCTACCTGGATGAATTCTTAGGACTTACAACAATCCATTCGAGCAGGTATCAGCTTATCTGCTGTCATTTGTTTGATTTATGATCCAAACAGATGCATCTGAGACTCATTTTTCAACAATAGGCCTTTTTTACAGCAGACATTTCAACCTTTCATAGAAGGAAAAGCTTTACTTGTGACATAAATGACAAATCATGGTTTCAGGTGTCCCAATAAGCAATGGCAGACTGACATTGAACCAGCATTCACAGTGCCAGGACCCTGAAACCAAAGCAGCTAAATTAAATTCAGCCATCATGGATTTCATTTCATTCAATCAACTGACTAGTAACACCCTGTATATTCACACAGGTGTAAAGGGCTGGCCTTAAATGACTTATTAAATGCAATTAGATTTACCTTTTAACATTTGCAAGGAACTTGTACAGTTTTGAGTAGTAGTCCAGTTAATGTGTGCATAGAATTTGAAGAACAGTGTCAGTCGTGAGCTGGGCTATTTCCTCCAAATAGAGAGAAAAAAAGAAAAAGAAACATCAGAAGAAGATTTATATGATTTATATGAAAGTTAAACTGGGAGACTCTCTGGACTCTCACCCCTCTGTTTGACTACAAAAACACACAATTCACTTGCAGTCATAGGGTGATGTTATACACTGGCTTTATTTTTGCTCATAGACTACCTTTGGTTGTGTTCAGAGCACAGTCAGAAGAAATTAACAGTATGTTTTAGCTTAACAGGGTGGAAACCAAATCCAGCACAAAACCTTACTGTACCAACAACGCTGCTGCTGCTCTCTCCACCATCCCAGCATACTTTTTCTTATATTCTGAGGCTTTTGTTGACTTTCCGAAAATATAATGATTATGACCAGACTCTGAAAGTGTGGCAGTCTTTTCTGCCAAATGTAACTTCTAACCTTTGGCAATAAATGGTCAGTTCATTGAGGTAAACTTCTCTGACTCTGAACCTTAAGTTATGGCAGTTATGATGATGGCCATAGTGACCTACTTCAGTGGAATTCAAAGCATCTCTCCAACAGTTATTTCAGATATAGCAGCTGATGGGGCCCTTTCAGTGGGCTGACCCCATGACCACTGACAACGTCGGCATCAGGTCACATACTGTAAGAACACAAGAATATAAGAACACCCATCACTCTTTTGGGGCTCCATCAAGCTTTGACCCCGTGGAAGAATCATCACCTTTCCCGCTTAATGCACTGCTCACCAAACCACTATTGCTGTACTCCCTCAGGAGTAGAGTACAAAATTGCATTTTATGGCAATTTAAGGCTGGGTGAGCAGAAAGGTGAGCAGAAGCAGCCAGGCGCGGACAGTTTAATTCACTGAGTTCACATTGTGACAGTCATTTCTAAGCAGATCTTGCTAATTTTACTGCAGGTAAAATGCACAACATTTTGCTTTTTCAATGTGGTTGTGTCATGGACTAAAACATCTGTCTATACTCGTCTATGGCATTTCTCCCTTTACATTTAACCCAGAGTGCTGAGCACATCCTTTAAAATGGGGGATTTTTAACATTTGCTATGAGCAGATCCACCAAAAGAAGTCCCACAACCAATTCTAGGTCTTGAAAAAAGCGTAAATGGTTCAGTCTTCACAGTAGCGGGTCAGCGGTGTCAAAGCCTTGATGGCGTTTTAGTTTCTTCAAGCTGTGTTTTGCTCTGCAGAGGCAGAGAATAGCTAAAGACAGATCTGCAGCTTCGTGTGTAGCTGCTGTTGAATGGAGTCCAACATCAATAGTGGCACCGTGTCAGAGGGAAAGTCAGAGAGGAAGGGAAACTGGGAGGTAAGAAAAAAAAATACTTTGTGTTGATTTTAGGTGATAGTAATAATAGTGGTAATAAGCACGGGAGAAGAAGAGCACAAAAGCAAAACAGTCGAGACATTCTTTGTTTTATGTGGCCACTTGCCATTTCAGCACCTGGATGATAGATGTCAATCTGCTCCGTGGGTGATGACGGCAACACGTATCTTGAAGTATGGGTTAGATATACCGTACATACAGCATAGTGCATTTTCATTCCTTGCCATTGATGTTGCCATGTGGTTTAGAGAACCATTGGTGCTTTAACAATGAAAATATTTTTGTAGCCTGAACTCTTGTCTATCCAACACATTATAGTAAAACAAGAGGAAAGTTTAGCAACCGCATCTAATAAGTTGATCTCAGTATAATGTGGGCGAGATTATTAAAGGCGAACATAGTAACTTCTTTGGAGCTATGGCAACACAATGCAGATGCTTTGGATTTACCGTTCCTATCGTAGCTTATTTGACTGTCTCAGAAGTGTTTCCTTTCATCTATAGATGCATTTAAAGAGATTATGTTTAACATAATGTACCCATTGAATTTTCTCCTATACTTAAAACCATATTGGGCCACTTTTTCCAGTTCTGTGTCTAAGTGAATTGGCTCAGAGACTTGATTTACATGTCTTATTTTAAAATATTTATAAACTTATAAAAGATAATATTGCACAGAGGAACAACAAAAAAGAAGTTGATTGAATTCCCATTTAATTTGTCCTGAACCACATTAACATGGGAACATGAACTGATACTTCCATAGCTCTCGCTCACTGCTGATTTATAGTCTTTTTAAGAAGTCCAAACATGTTGTTTCAGTCATGTTTTCCATCTTCAAATTGTATTTCACTAATTATCATTCTGAGAAGAAACAAATCACTATTAGTTTTAATTTTTTCCCGTCTTAATATGATAATTTATTCACCCCAGCTGCTCTGAAGTATTATTTGAGGGTAAAGATTGTTGACAGTCGTGCCTAGAGTACCAACAGGGGGGTATTAACTGCTACTGGATGGAAAAGGATTGCTACATTTGAGAAAAAAAAAACATTAAGATTCCTGACTTTGCCTTGTGGAACAGCGTCTGAAACTGATGTGAATTCCTTCCCTGCCAAAGTTATGGCGGACTCCTTCAGCAACCCATTCTGCTTTTCCCTCTTGAAATATGCTTACATTTGTGCATAGTGTGCTGTACTTCTCTGAATGTACCACCATCTACCATTTATTTCCCTCTATCGTACCCACAGAAAGTTCTTCTTGTTTGTGGAAAGCCTCACTCCCCAACACTGCTGACATGCTGTCTTCTGTCTTTTGGCTGCTGTTTTGTTATTGTACTCCCCCCATAGTTATATACCTTCTTACTCGCCCCCTGCCATATTTTTTCCATCATCTCCTGTGAAGCCCTCGTATAACCGCTGAAAAGCAATATTTTTTTCCCCAGTTTCCATCTCAGGTTTGGGAAGAAACCTCAATGTTCAAAATAATGCATTGCTTTTTCCTGGTTCATGATCCTTTCACACGGTGTAAGGGGGACGGACAGAGAAAGAGAAGAAAGGGCAATTAAAATGAGAAAAGGTTATTAAACGATAACACAACATTGTTATATGTTTTTCTCATCTTCCAGGCAGCCATTGATTTTTCTTTGACAATTTAGTACACTATAAACTTCAGACTTAAAACCTGTTTGAGTTAAGTAATCAATCACAATGAAATGTCTATTAGTCTTGTCGGGGGATTAATTCATTTTGAAAAAGAGGTTGAAAGAGAGTTTTGAAAACATACTCTGGACTATGTTCAGCAGTTGATATACCTTTTCATTATCACAGCTTTTCATTCATGTTATTTTAATAGGTTAACGTAACTTTTGTCATATAAATGGAATTATTATTTTGTGATTATTGAGCCGTAGGTCTTTTTGAAACTGAGATCACCCTACTTCAAACCAGTGAGAAGAAAAATGTGAGATAACCAAAATTGTTTTACCCATGTCAGAAAATGTTGTGTTCATGTAGAACCCCATAGCTCATTTTATATTAGCTGATGACATAGGTTGGTTGGTTCATAAACAAATAATGATTTATGGTATAGTAAAACATAGTAATAATATAAAATATCTCTTTATAGAAGAAGTTATTATTGTTGACAAATACTTTAATAAACGCTTAAAATGTCCTTATAACTGCATCCGTAATAAATCATGTTTATATGCTGATTATACACAATAAATAGGGGGACTTAAAGTAAAGTGTTACTGAGAAAATAGTAACAGTTTTTCTGTAAATGTATTAGGTGAGGAGGGAGCATAAAGACTGACAGAGAGAACAGAGGGAAACAGTCAAGGAAGCAATTAAAGTAATAGAACATTGTATTGAAATGTGCTATAACCTCTATTAAACTCTGTGTCTCTCTGTCTCTTTCTCTGGGTGTGTCTGCCTCTCTCTCTCTCTCTCAGTCCTCGGCCCTCAGGGTCTGCGGTTGGTCCAGGTGACTGACGCCTCTCTCCTGGTTGAGTGGGAGTCAGTTCATGGGGCAGAGTATTACATTTTGACATATCATCCCAAAGATGATGAGAGTGCCCTGCAGCAAGTACGTTCTTTTTTTCTCTCTCTCTTTGGTCATGTCAAATAAAGGAAATCCGTTTTTTTCTATAACATGTATATGCCTTTAATTCAAATCACTGTATCCTAGGTTAGGGTTCCCAACACAGAGAACTCCTACCTCATCACAGGACTGTCTCCTGGGATCACCTACATCGTCCAGGTTTATGCCGTCATCAAAGAAATCCAAAGTGAAGCAGACAAGATCGAAGCTACCACAGGTGAGCTCGGAACACTGTGATCAGGACTGGAAAAACAATAATAAGGCTTTCAAATGTGTTCTTCTATTGACTAAATCAGCATGACGCAGAATAGGATTTGTTACTGGTAAAGTGGAATGGGGCTGGGTACAGCATGTTGTCTTTAACAGTGCCGGTGGTTTAGGGCAAAAGCAGATGTAACCTATTAAAGACTCATGTGGCAGGAAGGCCAGGTATGGCCTGCAGGTGTGGGGGATTTTGTTAGATTTTCTGTGGATTAAACGGTCAAATTTGAGGTCAAATGTAAGTACACGTGTGATGAGCCATGAAAAGACTGATATGTCAAGCTCTTGAAATGTTTAGAGGGAGAAGGTGTTGGGGATTAAGAATCTGGATTTAAGGAAAGAGGTAAGTGTACGTCCAGAGGATAGATAGGTTTAAGGTGACTCCATTTTGAATATTGCAAATTTGAACAATAACACTTTTTCATATCACTTGATATATGTGCAGTCATGTGATTAATGTGTATATTCATGCATAGATGAACAGTCTGTTCCACTTGTGGTAAATAACTTGCAGTTGCTAAAATTTTCCTGTATTTAAATCTTCCATATGTCTTTAACGCAAATGCTATGCTAAAAAGCAATGAACAAGTTGAAGCCTGTCATTACTAAGTGTTTCATTAAGCACTGGTTTGTTAACCATTAAATTTAAAGGTAATTACAAGGAAATAGCTCTACGGATGTGTTTAATGGAAATCACTGCTCACAGATGTGGCGGAGACAGATTTAAGAGAAAGAGATTACTAGACAGGATTGGTGGGCTTGAGTCAGACAGACAGACAGACAGACAGACAGACAGGGGAAGAAATTGAGTTTGACTCTAATGCGTGGTTAGCCTGGTTAGCCATGGAAAACCTCACAGAGCATGGCATTCCCATATGGGCATGAGAAAACACGCCATCGTCTGGCTTATGGTTGTGTGAGGAGTACACAGCATGAGGCAGACATTTCACTGGTTACATAGTTTTCAACTTCAAACAATGATCTACTTCAAAAGAGGGCTCAAGTGAATGTTTTTCTTTTTCTCTTAGAAAAACACATAGCTGGCATAAAAAAATGCTAACCCTTTTTATTTGGTACCATTTGTTTTGATTGATGGTTTTGTTTTGTTTTTTCCACCATATGCGGCAAATCCTTCCTGTCCATGCTAATATTGTAAAAATCTGTATATACAGTCACCTATTTTTCATATATTTATGAAATGGCATATATGTGAAAAAGCCTTTAGTTCTTCTAATCTTTGTCATTTACCCCTGTATAGTTCCTCTGACTCACAGCATAGGTTAAATCAGTGACCATGTGTTAGAACAATTGACTCATACTTAATATATGTGCATATCTTTGTCATATTTGACTTAAAAGCAGTGCCATGGGCCAAAACATAAGAGAAAAACAATAATACAAGTGCATTATTTACACTATCTGTCAATCATTGAGAGTTGAGACTGCTGGCATGTGTTTTCACAATTAAAGTTCTGTGTAACTTTTTCTGAATGGCAGTCAGTTCTGTAATTTTACTTAAATTCAGTGTGACAGTAGCACAAGAAGAGAAGATTGTTAAAATCTGAGAAATGACTCGCTAATGTAATATAGCACTATCTGTCTAAGGTTTGCTAATATTAGCTTACATTAGACACTAGGAGAACTGGTCATACCAGGCCAAGTTAAGACATTATCTCCTGTTTGGGGTAAGACAAGAACTTGTATTTTCTTAATGGCCAAAAGGAAAATTCTTGTATATCCCCTCCCTAGGACGGTCACATTTCAGGGTGGAAGGGATCCATCATCTTGCTCAAGGACATGGGAGCCGAGCAGGGCAGATGCTTGTGATTACAGGGGCTTTAATGCAAGGTCTAGTTTGAGGGTCATGTCGGTACTCCCAGTTCCACCTTGTTGTCTAACACTTGTATCCCTCCCAGATGTCTCAGCTATTGATGATATCCGAGTTCTTGGCCAGACAGAAGTCTCTATCCAGGTGGAATGGAAGAATCCAGCAGCTGACCTGGATCACTTCAGGCTCACACACACTGACCCCGCAGGGCAGGAGGAAGAGCAGAACGTTCAGAAGAGCCAGGAGGCGCGCACCAAACACACTATTGTGGGTAAGTGGTGTAACAGACAGAACACAAGTTTGCACAGGAGACATAAATACATGTAAAAACCCCTGAAGCCCCTGAGTATACCTCCAAATTGTTGTGCCAGACCTCAGCTTAAAATGAAGGGCATTTGCTGTCTCTGCCCTAAGTTCTATAGTAATTCACCTCTCAATATCAGACTCTGATAACTGATATTTTGCTCTACTGTTGTCATTTCTCTTTCCTGCTTTTATTATATTTTTTACTGTAGTTGTTGTTACTATCCTGCTGATACATTGTGGTAAATACATTTATTGTGAAGCACTTCTTGACTCCTGCTACATATTTAAATCATTACTTACTTACTTACTTACTTACTTAAAATAACCATGTGGTATAATGGTGTAACAGAAACCATTTTTATGTCTCTCATCACTTCATCTCATTTTGTGACCCTTCATATTTATCTTGGGTCCTCTTGGTGGGTCCCGACCTCCAAGTTGAGAACTACTTGCATTGAGTATTTCAGTGGTAGAGACTGTAGTTCATCACATCTTTCCCATTGTAGAGTTTTAAAAAAATGTGTCTTTCTGCAGGTCTGTTTCCAGGAACAGAGTACCAAATCTCAGTGCAGGCCATCAAAGGAGCCACTGAGGGAAAATCTTCCTTTGTCATTGGTGCCACAGGTCAGTATCAACACGCCCAGCGTTCACGGTCCATTTAACCTAATGTGTTACTTAGTGACCAGCAATTTAGCAAATTCTGTATATTATTAGTATTTGCACAAAATGGGCCTAATTTCATCTGAAATGGACAACCGCTGGACAGAAATCGCAGGGGCCTGCGTTTGTGCAGCCACTGACTGTGTCTGAATTGGATGACACTTAAAATGATAGATCAGTCACTTGTGGAAGTGAAACACATTAAAGAAACAGCAATATTCCACTTAGTTTTAAATTGGGTGCAGCATCAAAGACTGCTCTTAGCTCTTGTCAAGCCACCTATAATTCACCAGCGGTCAGAACCTAATAGGAAAAACACATAATCTTGCACAATACTGACAGGCTACATGATGATACAACCTGGTATTACCTTCCACACACGGTCAATGATAATAGCATAATGAATACATCCAGCATGGAGCAGGCTTATGGCTTAATGGTGGAGGGCTTGACTATACAGCCTAATAATCTGGACGGGTCCTAATGGCTGTGGTGAGCCTGGTCACCAAGGGGGAAACATGATATGAACAGTGTAACGACTATAAGATACTCCCTGATGGGTGAGGTGAGAAGGTCCATGATTTACAGAGTCCATCTGGTAATGTTGGATTTTAGCGGTGTGGCACTGAATTCGACACAATTGGTCTAATCGTGTTCTGGACTGGTTTTAGGACGTGAGGAGGAATTCATTTTACAGTTTCACTTTAACAGCTGTTTATAACATTCAGTTGCTTTAAAGTATTATTATTTAAGGCACAAATGGTCCACAATGGCTCGACAAGTTACTACCATTATTCTGCTCATTTGTGTTATTTTCGGCTTTTCTGTCTTTCGTTTCCCTTTCTTTCTTTCCTCCTTCACCTTCTCATACACCCAGGAGCTCACTCAGTTCAAAAGCAGTCTCAAGGTTGATGGCTTTTCGTTTTCTAGACCCCGAGGCAGCCAATTCAATTTTTTTTAGTCATCAGTGTTAGCTAGGTACTTTCAAGAAGACTCACTTCTCTTCTTTTGCAGCCAGTCAGGTAGTCAAGGGCCCCTGTCACTGCTAATCTTTTTTTCTGTGCGTGAGTGTACCACCTACTCATGTAGTAATTGCATGGGTGTGTGTGTGTGTGTGTGTGTGTGTGTGTGTGTGTGTGTGTGTGTGTGTGTGTAGGTGTGTCTGTGTAGGTGTATGTGTGTAAGTGTATGAATGTTAGAATGTGCTAATCTACACGAGACAGACAGTGGCTTGTCCCCACTCCAGTAGCTACAATCCTTCATTTTAGGTGTTTCATGAAAAAGGCTTAGAGGTGATTGAGGAGGATAGTCCTCAGCTCTGCTTGCCAGCAAGAATGTGCTGGTTTCATGATGACTGGCATGGAGCAACAGCAGACCGCACTCACCTATTATCTCACCAAACATGCTGTTAGCATTGGAGGCCGGCGTGGTTATACGCAGTGAGAAATAAAAGGAACATAAGGAGGAAATGCAGAAAAAAGAACAGCAATAAAGAAAAAAAGACAGTAAGTGCTACAGTTACAGGAAGAAATTACAGTAAAAAATGAGCAGGTATAATAGAAGAACACAGGGACAATAAGGATACAATGAGATATCAAGATATTTATAGGGGAAATCTAGAGTAAGAATAAGGCAGGATATTAAAATAATGGGTCACAAAGAGGCAATTTCAGTGACATTATGTAGCAGTATGTAATGCATCACAGTGTAGCTACTATGGTATGAAACTGAGCTTTTGTCGGAGGCTATAGCTGACTCCCTGCATTATAGAAGCTATTATATTTCCTTCTAATTTTTACCATCTGTCTTCTACTCTTTCTCAGTTTTCTCTTTTTTAATTTCTTTCAAAGTTCACCATTGGAATGTTTTTTATGATATTTTGTCCCTCACTCTCTTTCAGTCTTTGTTGACTTGCCACCACTGAAATCCATTGTGGGAATTTATTTATTATATAATAATAATAATAATAATAATAATAATAATAATACATTTTATTTATAATGCCCTTTTCATCAAAAGATCTCAAAGTGCTACAGGTTAGAAACAAAAAAAGATAAGCAGTTTTAAAAAAACAAGAAAAGAATAAAAAATAAAAAATAAAAATTCAAGATGACAGAAGTAGCCACAAAACTGATGACATGTTTTTTTTAATGGTGATTGGTATTCACTTTAGCCTTGTAACTTGACTTAAGTGAACTGTATATTGTATGCTATTGAATGACACTTTATTTCATATTTATTGCTAGATTTCCACATGTGCATCCAGTACGGTCCTATAAATAATCCTCTCTCAGCCTGTTGTATTTTCACAGTCTATATGTATGTGTGTGTCTGCGGGTGGCTCCATTGCGTCCTTTAACTGCCATCCTTTCCTGAGTAAAATGATTCAATGACTGCTAACATTTTGTAACACCAGAACCAAAGGGATCTCTACTTGGAGCAGACATTTCATAGTCACTGCCAAAAGATTATAAGGCGTATAAACAGAACACACTACAGCTGCTGCTGCTGATTCAGATTCAATAAAGTCACCACCAAGGCCCATATAACCAAAAGCAGATGGACTTGGCATGAAGTTGAATGTTTAGTCTTTGTGTTATCTGGACACACTATAGCACCTCATGTGGTCCAGTAGGAGTACAATGTCTGCTCAGACTTGTCCATCTGTGTTTTCTGAGCCAACCCTGTACAGAAGCTGCCAAAATGACGTGAAAATGTGCAAAAGGATATTCTATAAATATAATGATAAGAACCCTAACCCCTTTTTGTATATTCATTGTATTGTTATAGTAAGAGTCAACTCTGCTGGCCTATTTGTGTGTGTGTGTGTGAACATAAATGTACATGCATTGTCTGTAGCAAAGGTAAGGTACAGGAAATATACTGCTCTCTGTATGTGCAACTTCCAATTGTTGTGGCATTTGGTGCAGGATATGCCATTTGTACCCTTAGTCATGGATTTGTCCTGTAACACAGCACTGCATCCTCAAAAGTTTGATCTTTGCATCAGTTACAGTTTACAGTTGGTGTGTGGCTGCAGTGAGGTCAGGCTTTTCTTTGTCATAATATATTGATACTATCTGGTGATTTGACAGCATTAGTACTGTATCTAATGGTGTGTTGATCAAAACTGTGAGATTTGTATGCTAGTACAGTGGCTGGATAAAGAGAGAATGATTTATGATGGCAAGAAAGGGTTTTTCATATTTTTCATATCGTATGTTACTTCTGTCATAAAGAATGATGAGCTGCTTACGTTACAAATAGATTGTTGGACAAACGTGAAAAAAGCCTCTGGTAGCGAGGGGACTCCACAACAGCACAGATGTCACACCTGACATAGTGTAGTCTCTCAAACAATGGAACCTACTGACACGTATTTCCCCTCAGCTCCACCACCAGGACATACTGTATGGCTTCTGCTGTACAGTAAGGCAGTTAAGCTGTGAGGCTGTAAATGATGAAAGACGGCCTGTTACTGTGCACCTTGTGGTCGATGCCTCTGCTGAACATGCCACCTATAATGGATAAGCTGTTTTGCCAAATGGCCGAAGCCACGGCTCATGTTCTGTAGCCCAGTAGCCACTGTCGCTACGCAGCTAGTGGGGTAGAACGTCTGGAGAAACTCGATCCATCATACACTATAACTCCAGAGCAAATGCAAGGCGCCCTCAGAAAGTAGTAGTGCGTGGAAAAAAGATCTAATAATGCATAGAATATATCAGACAGCAGCTAAACTGCCTATAGGAGAAAAAGGAACTGCAGAGGGTAACAAAATAACACCACAGAGGGAGCAGGAAACCATTGTTTTGAAGGAGAACGAGGCACAGTTGAATACAGGCTTTATTCAGGTGGTTACAAACCAAATAACAATTTAAGTTAATTTGTAGTGAGGGATAAAAGCAATAGCAGGCTCCTCTTCAAACTGTCAAATGCTTTTAACTTCAAAGTTCCTTTGGGCTGTCTGAATGTTGTAAATCAATTTGAAACCCCTTCATTTAATTGACTTTGATTGAACTGAGAGGACATCTGTAGCCAACATCACTTTGGGTTATGTATCACAAACAAAAAGTGTGTAATATTTCATTTTAAAAAAGCAGGATTCATCCTCTTTAGACTGACTGTAGCAAAGTATGTGGACATGGCACACTTCAGATGGCAAGTTTTGCCTTAGCAATGTTAGCAAGTTGGTTGTAGGACTGTCATATATGCATTTTCTAAATCTAAAAGCAACTGCTAGTGCCACTGGAATTACATTTCTACTAGTGTGTGTGACTACTTCTCCATTACAAGATGCAAACACAATAGGTGTACTAGTAAAAAGTACAGTCAGTGTGAACTTTCACCATTTTCACCACAAATATATTCAAATAAAGGTTAAGACCTGCTGTGCTGTGTTATGAACAGGTCAAATATAAAATATCTTGTCACAGATACGATGATGTTAGATTTATTTGGTACACAGCTGCTATTGATTTTTTTTATAGTCTCCAGTATAGTATTCACTGGACCAAACATTTGGATGGATACCTGCATGCTGTCTGTACCTAAAGGTTTTTCTACATGATGAGTGGATTGACGCTTTATGGGCTCCCTTAGTAGCACTCACTTAAGGTACTTAGACTACTGAATGGTCTCTCATTTTTAGGCCTTGGAGGAAACACTCAGTCCTAATAAAATGGAGCAATTATAAATTCTTTCTGTGGTTGAGCTCATGACAGACTGTCAAGCAGTGCAGCCACAAGGACAGAAAAGTGACAACGGGAGAAGAGAAGAGAGACAGAGGAGATATAGAGTTAGACAGCTGCATAGTTCCTTTCTTCTCCTGGATGCATCATCAATCAGTTTTCATGATGCAGACTGCGCACTGACACAAGACTGACCTCGACTTAGCCAATGCCACAGAGGAATAATCCTTAATGATGATTGCTTTTACATTTCCTTTCACTTCCTTTGTGTCTCTCTTACTATGCCTCTGTGGCTCTTTTATTTTCTGTCTCCCTCTCTCTCTTTGCTGCTCCAGCTCTTCACTTTCATCGAGATTTCCCTCGACAGAGAGTAACACCCATCCACACACATGCACCACCAACAGCTCCGCCTGTGTCTTCGATATGTCTCCTATGATTCGTATAGCCCATCGACTTTACAAACAGAGGCTCTGTGTTCTGCTGTGCAGCTCATCCTGTGGAGCTTAATGAACAGTACCATGGGTTGGGTTATGTGATGTTCATTTGAAGAGCTTCATAGAGCCCTTCCCACGAGTACAAATTCTCCTTTGGTCTTCAGTATCCATTCAAAACAAAATATGGATAACAAGCTTGCATAGATTTATATTTGAAAAGTTTGTTTGCTATATACACTCTCTGGGCTGATGGGATAAGGATAATTATTACAGGGACATTTCTTGAAAGTGCTCTATAGTTCCGTCTTGTGCAAAACACTGCTGCAGACTATAGCTTAGTCTTACCTGCCACATGCTGCTGTTGGTTTTTTGCTTTTTACTCACCTCACTTGTTTCTTCCACACAGACAATTCAATGCTGTTGGGGCTGACTGGATATAGCAGTTCCCATTTTTTCTCTTTTAACCATTATAATGATATTTACACATACGGTGGCAGATCACATTAGTAATTTTTGTAACTGTCATACTGGCCATAATGGAATGTACCGATGGATAACCTTTGTGATTTTATTTATTTTTTAAATATGTTTGGGGGCTTTTACTGCCTTTAATGTATAGTAATAGCTATAGAGATACAGGAAAGGGGGAGAGAGGGGACAATACGCCGCAAAGGGGCACAGGTCAGTTTCGAACCCATGCCCGCTGCAGCAAGGACTCAGCCTTGGTACGTGGGGCACCAGCTCTACCTGTTGAGCTACCAGGGCACCCTAGGGAGAGGAATTTGTTGGGTCTGTAGTAAGTTGCCAACACTTCTTTCCTCCCACTAGTTCCTCACAGCTTGTGCCAGTACTCCTACTGACAGGAATGGTTGCCAGTTGTTTGCTTTTTTTCTAGTCATCGCCCAATTGTTATATGTTCGTCTGTTTTTGCTTTTTTTCCTGGGTGCAGTTGGAGTGTGCATTTTGCTCAGCTGAGTTTCTACAGCCAATGTGGGAGGAATGAAAGGATCAGTAAAGAACAAGAACTCCTTGTTTTGTATTGTCTGCTTGTTACTTATTCCTTTTTCTTTCTTTTTTTCTTCAGACATTGATGCTCCTACCAATCTGGTCACCACAGAAGTAACAGAGGACACTGCAACAGTTTCATGGGATAAGGTCCAGGCAGAGATTGAGGGCTACATGTTGAGCTACACCTCTGCTGAGGGCTCCAGTACCGAGATCCCTGTAGGACTTGACAGCACGTCATATAGGCTTATTGGCTTGAAGCCAGGAGTTCTCCACACTGTCTACATCTGGGCCTTCAAGGGAGAGAAAGTCAGCAAGAAGAGTTCAACAGAAGCTGAAACAGGTACTCTTTTAATGGGACCCTGGTTCATTACGGGAGTGATTGTTGTATTTAATCTTTTGTCCACAATTGATGAGTTTCCCAAATTGAAAGTTCAAAGGGTCTGGTCTTTGATATGAAGTCAACAAAGAATTCCACAAAGGTGAGACATAAGAGATAAACCACTAACACTTTTGTTTAAAGACAATGACCTGTAATTCTCAGATATCTCAAGGGTTTGCAGGTGTTTCTTTTCACTCTTTCTTTACAGCCTGTGAACAAAGGGAAAGATGTTTTGTGTCTCTTTTTCTTAAGCTCATGACCATTCATTTCCTTTTGATCTTCTGTGTGCTGGTTTTCTGAACAATATCCTTGTCTTTGTTTGTGGTGGCAAGAAGTAAAAGACATCACAGTAGATATTTTTCACTTAGTACACTATCCCCTCTTTGCCTAACTGCCAAGAGAGAAACATGAACTCTCACTGAAAAAGGCTATTTAACATAATTAGGCTGGACACCTCAGTTAAAGGTGTTTCAGTTTAGCCTGGGGCTGAATGTTTGAAAGAAGTTTGAGAAGAGCCAATTTTGCTTAGACAATAAAGGCAGCTATTTTGTTTCTCCTGTGTTCTTCTTTCTCTTAATCTTTGCTGTTGTGAAGTTTAGCAGCTGTTGCTGTCTGCTTGCTTTTATGTCTCTGAAGAAAGGCAGCAGAGGAACGCTTCAGAGTACTGACTGGCGGATATCCAAATTGTTTTACAAATTCAGTCGAATATGGAGACCAAAAACTAATTTGTTGAATGTATAACTTTCACTACTGTGCTTTTGCAGGTGTATGGTATGTTGTGGTGTATGTGTGTGCATCTGTGTATAAGCAGGAATGCCTTTCTTCTGTGCCACTAAGGGCTCCCATTGTTTTTAGCCAAATGGGTAAAAACTGGTTTACTTTTAGTTGGTGTGTTTGCTGAATATACTTAGTGTCTTTTCCAATTTTTATACACATTTAAAATTTTTGTTGTCATTCAGGCTCAGTTTTCAGACCTTTCCTGATTCCTTTTGATGAGGGAAGCAGACATGTTAGCTCCAATAACCTCACTCATACATCAATCAGCGGATATCTGGTGGCTTGAAACTCATTTTGCTAGCCCCTGATGTTAGCAATTGTGATCTCAATTAACTATAGCATGAGCGATAGGGAGAAGAATAACCATTATTATTGTTATTATTTTGTCATGGTGAAGGACAGTTGAGAGTTTTCATCTGTAGTGTTAACATCAAAGGGTTATGATTTTTTATGTGGACTCTTACCTACATTACCTGTTTTAGGAGAATAGAAACATTCAAAGGTTGATATAGAGCAGTGAAGACACAAGATACACATGGGATTCATCTGGAAGCCAAACCAGTGATACTGTATCACACATCAGTGGTTCAGTGTTCTGTCACCATCTATTGTTTGCAGTAGTAGTTTGCATGTTCTTTAATTAACATAGCTCATAGTATACTCAAATACCCCTGCTTACATAACAATGTGATATGATGTCAAACTTGGATTCAAAACCTCAACGCAATAAAATGTTACATTTAAGTAATAATGAAATAATTTCAGCATTTGTTTAACAAGTTATTTATTGTTTCTAGAGAGATTCATAGGACCCAAAAAACTCAATCAGACTCCACCAAACACTTTGTTCCAAGTTTGACATTTCTAACCTCTTACAGAGTGACCGAAGGTTATGTGTAAGAGGTAACTACATTATACTGATTTTGATCAGCTGTGTGTAGTTGTTGTTATGTTTGCACTGGATGTAGTGATGTCATTTAGTAGTCTATACTAACCATAACTCCTCATGCAGAGCTGGACGCTCCTACTAACGTCTTGGCCCAAGATGAAACAGAGTCCAGCTTCAGGGTGTCCTGGGATCACACCCAGGCAGAAATTGACAACTACGTCCTAACCTACAGCTCTTCTGAGGGCTCAAGTGAGGAAATCCCTGTTGGGTCTGACAGTTCTTCATACATGCTGACTGGCCTGAGGCCTGGGGTCCTCTACACTGTCTACATCTGGGCCATGAAGGGGAGCAAAGCCAGCAGGAAGATCTCAACACAAGCTGAGACAGGTTTCAAATCTACAACTTTGTGTTCAAGTCAATATTCTTAATTAGCTAACCAGCTAATGCCAAATTGCGGGTTACATCTACATTCATTAGTATGTTTAGGCACCTTAAAACATTGTTGACTATTTCAAAGGAAAATAAGTTTTAAAACCTTTTTATTTTACAAAATGGTAACCTGACCAACACCTGTTTGTTAGATTTAATTTTCAACCATTATGTAAATAGAAACAAAAATCCAACTCTAGACTCCTACAAAGATTTTAATCAAAGGTGAAACATGGTGAAAGGTGAGTCCAGCTTCTGCATGTTATGAGACCAGGTCTTGGAATAAGTTCATGGATATAGGTTGAACTACAACTAATTTGTAGTTTGCATCAGTAGTGTGTTAATATCCTCTACTAACATTTCCCTCCAGAACTGGATGCTCCTGCTAACCTCTCAGCTCAAGATGTGACAGAGTCCAGCTTCAGTGTGTCGTGGGATCCAGTCCAGGCCGAAATAGACGGTTACGTCCTAACCTACAGCTCTTCTGAGGGCTCTAGTGAGGAAATCCCAGTGGGGCCTGACAGCACCTCTTACGTGCTAACTAGTTTGAGGCCTGGGGTCCTCTACACTGTCTACATCTGGGCCATCAAAGGAAACAAAGCCAGCAAGAAGATCTCAACAGAAGCTGAGACAGGTCTCAAATCTACCATTTTCTGTTTGCCTGACCAATGAAAGCCAATTGAAATACCGACCTCACATATTCTTTTGTGAGTTTATGTTTGGTACATCACATCTTTAAGCACCCTATAATTAGTTATTTTGACTAGACAACCCCAAAAGAAAAATGTGTTTCTCACATGGTAGACTAATCAAAACCAGAATATTCGTTTGAATATTCATCCATCAGTTCATCCATCTACTTCCCAACTTCTTATTCGGGTCACGGTGAGCAAAGCAGCCCAGACATTCTTTTTCCAAATAACTTACTCCAGCTCTTCCTGAGCAGTCCCATGCCAGCTCAGAGGTGGAATCCCTCCAGCATGTCCTGGGACAACTCTGCACTCTCCATCAGTCAGTCATGCATGGAGCATAAGGAGGCACTCAGGCCATTCTTTCCAAGTGACCAAAACAAAACAGAGAACTATTCATAGTTTCTCTCAGATCAGTAGACTCTTTACTCCGTCATGCAGACTGAGGTCAGCCAACATGTTGGGGAACCTCATGTCAGCGTCTTGTATCCAACAGTTTCATTGTTTTTAGTTACATGTACTGTACCACCCAACGTTTGTGACCACGGATGAAAGATGGATTGAAGATTGTTTGAAATTCACATGTCTTTTACTACCAGGATCTTATATAATGTCTACATTGCTACACCAAGTTCCTCTTAATATTTTGTCGTTCTCCTTCACTCTAATTTCTGAGTAAAATCCCAATTACCTGGATCCTTGGAGCACCTGCTTGCTAATCAGAATAGGACATGGCACCTTTTACCAGAAGAGGACAATGGAAGACTTTGAAGGTCTCCTTCCGGCGTTTCACTCCAGCTGTTCATCACCAGGTTCACAATGACAAGCACTCTTTACCTTCTAACCACAGCTCCTTGCAGCTGCTTCCATGATAGAGATTTCGGTCCATTCTGTGCAGAACCTGGACACAAGAAATTTCGACCTGATACCAGGCATTCCAGCAAACCCAGAAAGCCAAATGTTCTGACCAGTCTTGATTTTTGTCCCTTCGACTTTAAGGTGCACCAGGCTCCCTTCCTAGGGCAAAGAGATGATCCTGAATAAGATGGATATTATATTAAGAATTAGATTTTCTCCCAGAGAGATGCACATTCTAACATCCCCAAAGTGTGCTCAGTCCATACCATTTGCCAAACAGGTATTGCCCCCAAACTACAAGCATTTATGGCTGGTCTTTGCCTTTTCTTGGCTCTTGCTTCAACTGTGACTCCATGTGCAGACATCATGAGTGTATTGTGAGACGACAAGTGCGATCAAAAATCAGTGGACATACGTCTGGGATCCCATATTGTCTCTTACAAGCTTTCTGCCTTGGTCCTTGTATCCCTTACATCATCTATATTTGTGAGTCATGGGAGACAAAGCTAGTGGGAATATATATATATATGATAACCACAAATTGAAGAGGGTTTCTTATTCTTTTTATTTTATTTGATATATGAAGTTAAAATTGTTGTCCTTTATTGTTGTTACTAATATTTTTAGCAAATGCATGCCAAAAGCTTTCATTTGTTCACCTCTGGATGAGAAATGAAACAGCACATCTTGTAGTTTGCATCAGTAGTATATTAACCTCTTCCACTAACATCTTCCTCTAGAACTGGATGCTCCTGCTAACCTCTTAGCCCGAGATGAAACAGAATCCAGCTTCAGCGTGTCATGGGATCGAGTCCAGGCAGACATTGATGGCTACATCCTAACCTACAACTCATCTGAGGGCTCTAGTGAGGAAATCCCAGTTGGGTCTGACAGCACCTCTTACATGCTGACTGGCCTGAGGCCTGGGCTCCTCTACACCGTCTACATCTGGGCCATCAAAGGGGACAAAGCAACCAGGAAGATTTTTACACAAGCTGAGACAGGTTAATACGCTACAAATAGGCAGGGTTTTCTTCTGGTAATATTAAACCTCTCCTTTCTTTTGAAATGTCAATTCTTAGTTTAACATTTAAAAAAGGCCATTTTGTCAGTCTAGAGTTTTATTTTCAATGATATTGGTACACTGAAGCAAAAAAACATTTACCAATAATTGCTATCCCTAACTAGTTTTCTCCAATTATCATCTGATGGGCCAGCTCTGAGAATTACCTGTCTGTTAAAGTCAGCCATTAACTTTAAATCCACAAGTCAAACACACTAAAACAAAACTTGATGAAATCTAGATTTACTGTATTGTCTAATAGAAGGGCAAGAAATTTGGAATGGGCAACATACCAAACAAACATACCAAACTGTCATGCAGACAGATTCTGGGTGTTTTTTTATCTTTCGTACTAGCACCACAACTGTGCCATTGTTCTAAAAAAAAATGCTTTGATCTTAACACAAAGTTGTTTGTGAGTAATGACTTCCAGGTATCTTTGCGTACACAAGCTCAAACAGGTTACGGGTCTATTATTGTTAAAAACAAAGGCTTTAGTTTGAGATTGCTGATAGGAATTTCTAGTCAGTCAGGGTCTGTTACAAGTGGCCTTAGACTGGGGGAATATTGGTTCTACATAAGCAGTACTATGAACAGATGTTGGCAAGTCACTACTTCAGAGGACAAGAACTACTTTAATGTGATCCCTAGAGATATGAACAAGAGTTCATTTATGTTCAAAAATAGCATTTAACTGGGTTGTGGATTCCTGCAATTGTGGCTGTATTTTACTTCTTTAATGTCATTGTATGTGACAGTACTGGATACACTGGTTCACAGGGGTCATGGATTAAGCATCAGATGTTAGGGAATACATCTGGGTCGCTTCGTTGGGAACCTGTTGTGCTTGCATCATGTGTGAGAGTTATTGGACTGCAATTGTGCCTTTTTAACATATCAGTTTAACCTGCAAAACTGCTGATGATCTCAAAGACAGTAACAAGTCAAACTCTAATTATCTACAACATTTCGTAGCAAACCAAGTGAACTTGGAAATTGCTTTATTAATTCATTTACTAATAATTATGTTTTCCTTTATGTACACACAAAACAGCAATCCATCAATTCTTGCCACATATGACCTTTGCTTTATTAAACAGTACATTTCTTACAAAGTCTAAATTTGTTTACTCTAGACTTCAAAACCACCAGGAAGCACCAATACCCCTGCTCTGGCAGGAAATGTTTCCCACAGGCCGAGCCAGGTCACCGGGTATGACTTGTAATTTAGTGTGGGGTAAAAATAGCAGCAGTGGCACATGGTGAATGGGGTACAACAGGGGTATCTTTGTGCAAACCAGATGATCTGTAAAATCACCTGGGAGCTCTAAGTGAAAGCTGGATCTTTTTCAATTAGGCAGCAAATGGCCGAGTTTGGGATTATAAACTTGTCTCGTCGTAACTCATTAGAAACCATCAGATGCTACAGACCAACGTAGTGCTGGGTTCAGATAAGAAAGTCTTTGTGTCAAAAGATATCATCTGGGAAACATAAAAGCATGTGTTATTACATTTTTGACTTTATTGAACCTAGTAACAAGCCCCATTAATATGTCAGTTAAAACTGTCTCAAACCAACATCACTGAATTTCACAGACTAATGACACCACTGGTACTACTAAATGTGTCCCTGTTCGCACTATTTTCTCCTATTACAATCTAATTACCACCAGTTTTTTTTTTTTTGTGACAGTGTAACTGATGATTCCTTAATATAAATAAAAGGCGCATGCTTTTCCAGAAGAGGACAGAAAGTACGAGTCTCGACTTGAATAAATAATAGATTGTTTGGGCTTATTTTGTACATCATGGTGACACACCGTTCCTGTAATTTCTTGAGCCAAGGGAGGTTAAGGTAGCTCCTACTGCTACAGCAGGCGTCTTCATGTCAGACAAATGATTTCAGCGCCTGTTTCAGGTCAAACCTCCAAAGCATTTAAATAAGGCAGAGGATAAGTGCCAGTTTATCTGCAGAGGCAAATTGTAGCTCTGCAGGCGAATGGTAGTCATCTCTGATGTTTCGCTTCAGGTGCAGAGAGGCTGCAGTGTCTGCTCCATTAATGCTGCACTTATCACCGAGGTAGATAAAGGGAATAAAGGATGAATACTGCACCGCAAAGTTATGTGTTTGTGTTTGTGTTTGAGAAACACTTAATTCACAGCTGAGTACGAGAAAAGGTTTGCAATCAAACAAGCAATGCAAAAAAGAATATAGAGATTAAAATGAGGATTTTTATAAAAACATTTATATTACATTTATATAACTGTTTAATTTAAGAGAAAGGATTATTCTCAGTTTTATTGAACAAATGAGAAAAGAATAATCAAAATCCTCTGCTTACCCAAATCCAGAATGAGTTTAAAAGATGTATTAATGGACATACACTTGACACCATGTTCTTGTGCAGTAATCTACTCTGAATTACCCTTCAATCCACAGACATTGATGCCCCTCAGGACCTGAAGGCGACTGATGTGGCTCTGGACTCTGCTGTTTTGACCTGGATCGCTCCTCTTGCTGACATTGAGGGGTACATCCTCACCTACAGAGACGAGGATGGCAACATGGAGGTTCTTTGACCACATATTTCCTCACCCAGACAGACAGACATCACCTAAAAGTGCTAAACATTATCTATAATACTAAAGAGGTCAGCATCAAAGTTTTGGTTGCTGTTCTTAAGACTTAGAATAATATGGTGTGCATACTCAGCAGCATAATAATGCCTCAGCTGAGGTATTGAACAGTTTGTCTCACCCTTTATAAATACAGAGATAACCTATTCTGTATCTCAGCATATTTGCATTTATTTTTTATACAACCATTAAATCACAAAGAACACACCTTCATATGAAAAGCTGAGTTTGAGTGTTCAGGAGGATGCAACAAACCTTTTATTCTCCGTTAGGTAAAAGCTCAGCTGCAGTTACTTTCCTTGCTTCCTGTGGCCATAGAAATACTGAACTATACAATGCTGGATTTTAAGTCCTGTTTTTGTCTTTACAAGCAGTTTCTTCACTGTTTGAAATAGACAGAGGCTACAGTATAGGTGAATGTGAAGGTCTGTAGAACGCTGACCTCTTGTGGTCAAAAATAAAACTAATCTACTTGAAGTCATTTTAAACTCTTGGATGAGGAGATTAATTGAATCTTTTTAGCCCATTTAATGGCTTCTCTAATTGAAACTCAAGACAATGTCATCACTCATACAGTAATCAAAGGCAACATTATATACCACACATTATATGGAACAACTAAATTACACAGATTATTGAGTGTTCAGTAAGATTAATTCTAGTTGTTTTTTATTGTGGTCAGACAGTTGAAAAGCAGCTTGGAGCTGGCGAGAGCAGGTTTTCTGTAACCGGTTTGGAGATGGGGAAGAGATACATTGTCACCATCATTGCCTACAGGGGGAACAAGAGGAGCAAAGTGGCACAGACCATCTTCAAAACAGGTCCGTATTCCGTCTTCTGTTTGCTGCAGGTCCACAGATTAAGTGCATGATGCTCCTTCCTAATATGGTCTTTTCTTCATACAGTGTTAAACATTAATAATGTATTTTTATCCCTAGTTGGTCTCCTGTACCCCTTCCCCATGGACTGCCTTCAGGTCATGAAGAATGGCAATAAGAACAGTGGTATCTACACCATCTATATTAACAATGACCGCTCCAAACCAATTGAGGTTTACTGCGACATGGACACTGATGGAGGCGGCTGGCTGGTACGAATTATTGATAATCTGCACAGACAAAAAGCAAGGTTTCAGGACATGAATAATACTGCATTGTTTCTTGTTATTATTTAAAGTGATGTTTATTATGTGGACGCAGTTCGTACCAGTAAACACTAAAGGAGCATTTTTAACTTACTCGTCAACTACTCAGCTTGTGAAAACAGAAGTCTGAACCATCCTGATAATGTCCACATGCTGCTGAACTGCCTTTTGGGGAATGTAGGATCCAGTGTTTGTGGAGCTAAGGACTGTACTCAAGATATCTTGGCTTTTGATTCTTCGATTTTGACCAATCTTTTTCATTCCTCATGCCGTAGCCATGGCTGCAGACGTTATGTTTTTTGGGTAGTCCGCCTGAGGGAATTATATCAAATTTTGCGCTGACTCAAGGATACACTGATCCAATTTTGGTTGTCAAAGCCAAGGTCACTGTGACCTCGCGAAACAGTTTTTTGGCTATAACTCAAGAATTCACACTTTTTTATAATTGAGCAGACAATGAATTGGTGACACTTGTGACTGACCTCAAAATAACCTTGATAGACCATTTTTGGTCATAATCAAGAATTTATGTGGTAATTATGACAAAATGTCATACAGATGTTTAATAGGAGGCACCCATTTATCCCATTAAACACCAAGTGATAACATTTTGCACCCAAAAAGTCAAAGGTCAACTTTACTGTGACATCATAATGTCTAGGAAATTTCTGGCCATTATTTAACACCATAACGCAGAAACAGAAGGGGAGATTGTGACAATATTTCACGGTTGGTGACACTTTCGACTCAAATGTCAAAGGTCATTGTGACCTGAAACTATGTTTTTAGCCATAAATTATGAATGAAATGTGCGATTCCAGATTTCACACACGTTGACTCGAACGACACAACGAGTAAACAATAAGTAGCACAGTATGGGCTTTCATCTTTCCATCTCATCCATTCTGCCTTTCATTTCCTGCCTCCTTCTAAATGTCCAACATCATTGGAATCACGTGACTGCAAACGTATTGGAGCGTGCCTAGCTATTCTTGATCCTGTGAGGGATCACATAGAGAGCTGCCACACCTAAAAATGAGAAAAGGAGAAAATTTTGTATAGCTATAAGAATCCATCTTGACATAGTAACCAAGTTCATGTGATACCTGTTTAGCCAAAACATCTATGATAATCAGTTCAAAAATGTATATTCACACCGAAATCATACATATGAATCATCAGTATGGTGATAACTTCCATTTTGACGAAAATACACTTATATAATAACTTTTATTAAATTCCTTCATAGTCGTCACTACATTATATACAGATTATATGAGTCTGAACAGACATGGATGTAAACTTTTTTTTAATTCTTACTTTGTGTAAACGCTATACTAACTCACCCCTTTAATGATAGAAATTGACAGTTATTCTTTTTGAATTTTAGTGGTATGAATGGTAACCACTAGCCCAAAGGAAATTGTTGTGAAACATTTGTGTAACAGCTGTCAGTGAAACTCCTGCGCTCCCTGCTTTCAGGTGATCCAGCGTCGTAACATTGGCAAGCTGGACTTTCTGAAACGTTGGAGACAGTACATAGCAGGTTTTGGCAACATGACAGAGGAGTTCTGGATTGGTGAGCACTCCAATGTTCTGTCTTTCTGCAGACATTGAAGCATACACATACATGAACAGTAATGAAGTGTTTCTTCTTGCTTTCACATTTTCTGTCTGGTTGTTCCCTCAGGTCTGGAAAAGATATATGAGCTCACCAACACTCCTACTCAGTATGAGCTGAGGTTTGACTTGGGCCTGGGCTCAGAGAGAGTCTATGCTGTATATGACAACTTTAAGATTGCACCGGTCAAGCAGAAGTTCAAACTCACTATTGGCAAATACAGTGGGACAGCAGGTGAGTCTTCAGGGCTTCTAAAATCTTTACCAAACGAGCAGCAATACAAAATGACTGACACTGACAACATGTGCAGCTTTCAGAGTTTATATTTTCTCGCTGACACTTTGCTCAAATAGAAGCAGTTATAGAGAAGTAGAGAGGGCAAGGCTGACGGGGGTGGGAATACAGGGGTTTTTCACGCAGTTGGCATCTTACCCATTATTCTGTGGGGTGCTGAGAAAGCAAATACACACCAACAATAGGTGGGATATTTGTTTCAGAAACTTATATTCACTCAGTTATAGACAGTAGCTATATAGGGAAGGCTGTATCTAAAGAAAGGTGGGTTTAGTGGGCTTTGAAGCGAGACAGATACAGACACACAGCAAGTGGGACACTGTGTCTACACATATCACAGTGTGCTGAAACAACATACTCTATATTTGGCATTTTATTAAATTTCAGGGAACACATAGAAGAAAAAGGAGTGTGCAGCAAAAGTCTGTGTGCATGCAGCGTGTTCTTTTGAGTTTTCTAACATTTAAACTAATTATTGTTGTTAATTATTGTTGATGATCCCCAGGTGATGCTATGACCTACCACCAAGGCCGGCCCTGGACTACTATTGACTCAGATAATGACATCGCCCTAAGTAACTGTGCCCTGGCCCACCGTGGTGCCTGGTGGTACAAAAACTGTCATCTTGCCAACCTCAACGGGAACTGGGGAGACAGCAGGCACAGTGTGGTGAGTGAGCAGGGAGGCAGTTCTGCATTGGATCATACATGCAAAATGTTTTTTTTTGTTTTTTTTTTTGTCATAAGGTGCTTTTGTGCCATTATTCTGAATCTGGCGATGTCTCAAAAAGAAACACAAATGTACTGCACAAGTATTGACTGCACAAGTATTGAGGTTAACTCTTGGTGTAGTGTGCCTTCAAACCAACAGGTGGCACTGACAGTATAATGTGATGGTAGATTTATACGAACCCAAGTTGCCAGTTACTAGTCTTTGGATTCTTGAGATGAGGCTGTCAAACATCATGTCCTCACTTCATCCTTCCCAGTAAATTATTTGATTCTACAACTCTCTGTAAAGTTCTAGCATTTAAATCTGCTTCATTAAATTAAGCTCTACTGTAGACTTTTTGTCCAAATATTGATCTTTCATACTCATAAGTAATAATGCAAGTGGATTCCAGAGCTGCTTTATTCTCTGTTTGCCATTCTGAATCCCCTTCAGCTCAAAATGTCAGCATTGTTCTTGATTAATTCATCGGTTTTGGAGGTTTCAACACTCTGGGTTAGTCAAAAAGTTAGTTTTGCTGTATTTTTTAGAAGAAATACAGTTTTTAGTGCCTCTCACAACAGCCTGCTTCTCCTGTCATGATTTGGAACCGCTAAAACGATACAAAACAAATACTATAGCCATCATAATCGAATAATTTATCAATGTTATTTTTCTTTCTCATCATTCTTACAAAAAGATAAAAAAATAAATAAAAAAAAAAGAGTGCTGACCAGGGGGCTGGTCCCTGGTCAGCAATCACAGACAACTTCACTCCAACCCACTTCTAGTTGTTTTGTTTTGGATTGTTGAGGTGCAGCAGAAATGGCCTGAATCCATCAGCAGTGATAAGAAAACACATTTCTCACACCAGCTATAAACCATAAGTGTTTTTACCAGGCTGATAGGGTAAACAACAACAGTTATTATGTCTAAGGGAGACTGACACTGAAGAAAATGCCAGGGGAGATCTCTGTTCTTGTCGAGATTTCATCCATAATATTGCCGCTGCAGATGTCTACAGCACTGTTTGTTGGGGAAATGCAATAACAGTCAAAACAAGTTTGTACTCACATGAAATGAAGCCAGAGGCTGGTATTTATTAGTGTTTTTCATTCTGCCTGTCTGTCATGCTGTATGCCTCTTCTCTGAATCCCTCTCTCTCCTCTCTCTGTCTCTCACCCCTTTCTTGCCTCCCTCATTTTCCCCCCTCTCCCTTCTCTTTCATCTATCCAACTTCTCCTTCTCACCGTACTTTCCCCTTTTCTATTGTCTCCTCTTCTGTATTTCAATCTCAATCCGCTGTCCTGCTGTCAGGGAGTGAACTGGAAACCGTGGAAGGGCCACCTGACGTCCCTCGACTTCACCGAGATGAAGATCCGACCTGTGGGATCCTTGTCCACCAGGAAGAGGCGATCGTTGATGGCCAGAGAGAAGAGCAGAACCACAAACCTCCAGAAGAAATAATGCAGCACCTCCGATTAAAACCGCAACAGCCATCATCAGTCCCATTAACCTGCCATCACGCTAGATTTGGGTGTTTCTGTACATATGTACATACATATGTCTTGATGCTCTGACCACACAAGGGTTCCCACTGGTCTACATGCCTGTATGTCTCAACTCTTAGACAACGTGTACTCTTTTGGGGCAAAGAGAGAAATGCCTCAGAGTTGTTTTGAAGTGAAGTGAAGTGAAGTTGACGATTTTAGTCTATCAGTTATAATAAAATTGTAATTTAAACTCCTGTTTCACTGATTCTGGTAGTAACCTCAATTATAAATCAGGAAACAGTAGATTTAAGTTAAAAAATCTAATTTTTCTCCTATTACTGCATTCATTTTAACTTTTTTTTAAAAAAAACCTCAGGGCTGCAGCCGAGGTTATTTGTATTATATTTGTTTATTTTATGTCCTATGAAGAATTTGAGTAGCAACTTGTTTGTGTATAGTAGCATTGTCATAATAACATAAAAGTAAAAGAAAGAAGTGGTAAAAATGGCTTGTGTGTTTTGTTTTCGATCAGGTGTGGACAGTTAGTTAGTGCCCTGAGTTTACTGATTATGAAGCCGGCTGGCTGTGTCACATTAAGCTGCCACTGTGCCACAAACACTGTCACATCACATTAGTTTGTGTAGGACAAGCCAGAGAATAACAATGGATGGCTGTCTTGAATGACCATATTGCTCCTGCTTTACATTCATACAACAGGGACAGTGCATATCAATCAATCTGATGTGCCCATATGAAATGCCAATAAGAATGAAGTTTGGTTGCCCCATCCTCTGGCACTTAATGACCAAACTCTTGTTTTCAATCTCGAAAGCTGACAAAGGTTATTAATACTGCTTTGACTTTGACTTTATTACATAATTACATTTTTTTTTTACACTTTTATTATAATCTCTGTTGGTTTATACAACAGGGACAAAGCACATCAATCAACCTTTCTGCTAATCTGCCAGAATTGATTTGTTGTCCCTGCTCCTCATAAATTTTGCATTCAACTAAAAAAAAATTTAAGCCTTCATGGCCCATAAGGTTTTATATTCCAACCAATCCTCAATCACGATTTCCAAGGTCAGAAATGAGGAAATTAAAATCCTGTATATGACTATTTTTTTTACTAATTGTATTGTCAAACTAACATTATAGCTCCTCGATCATATTCATGGCACACATTCACACAATAAATAAATAAAAAATATATAAATGAATGATAAAGGTTTTTTTACTTGGAGACATTGTCATTTAACAAGGATAGCTATAGAGCCTTAAGGAATACGGGGAACAAAATAATTAATGAGCAAGTCGTTCTATCTTTTTACAGAGGTGGAATTTTATCATGAGAATGTCAGCAGAGGTTTTATATATTCTAACTCCTACTGTAGTGCTATATATCACTGTATTGATCCATTTAGAAACACAAATAACAACAATAAGACTTTCTTAAGTATTCTTTATTATAAGTATTAAAACGTTTTTGTCTGCTGTCAAATAAAGGTCAGGTTTGAACTGATCACAAGTGTTATTTTACTGCTATGGTTTCTTTTATTTTACATGGCTGGCATATGATAAACTTATTAAATGTACTACAACGAGTTTTTAATTGGTTATGAAACAGTCTCATTTTAATACTGATCTCCCAAATGACTTACATAAGCACATGAGACCATCAGCGAGAAGATTAGACTATTTTTATATGGTTATCCTTAATGCCTGCCACCAGGTGGATTCCCCTTGAAATCAATTAAACAAGACGGTGGAAACACTAATTATTTAGTCCACAGGGGCCATCAGAATCAACAAAACTGAAAATTCCTTGTAGCTGCTTTAAATATGATGTATTGTTATAGACTAAAGGCCCAAGATACGCTGACATTAACATGAGGCAATCAAGTACTTATAAGAACGATAAGGCTATAGATTGCCCAACAACAAAACTAACAGGAGTCCAAAAAAAAATATGTTTGAATCTCATTGCAGCTGATAATTTGGTGTACTTTTTATTATCTTGTGTGCATAAGACAAAAACATACATCAGGATCAGGATCTTGAAGGCTCTGTTAAAACACTCTGAATGGGGACATTTTGCACAATACCTTAATTACGTGTGATACCTTAAGTACTTTTTACAGGTATTGTTACTTTTACTCAAAGTGGGAGGAGTACTTCCACCACCACTGGCTGACAATCTCATCTGTTGATTTTCTCTCTTTAGAGCTGCAGTGTTCCCACAGTACAACACTTTCATCATACTCAATTGAGCAACTTCTTGCAGGGACTGATGACTATTTACTGTCTGGTCTTGTAACAGTTTCCCAATTCTGTATCTCAAAATGTGTAGACAGCAAGATCTCACTGCCTGTCTGGGCAGGGACTATATTTACACAGCTAAAAATGTACACGTACATGTACAAAAAGTACATGGAGAGGACACAAACAGGACATTACACCATTTAAATACTAAATACAGATATGATCAATTGAAACTTCAGGCATGTCATTCCTTCCTCTAAGGCCAAATAAAGAAGTGAAAAGAAAATGTTTCTGAGGGTTCATTCATCTAACTCAGATATGAGTGTGAGAAAGCTGCAGCCTAAAATTTGGCAGCAAATATTTCTAGCATAGCAATTTTTTTTTTCCTTTTTTCAACTTTGAAATGAAATGTCTCACAAAAGCTCATTGATGCGAAAGGCCTTTTCAGCCACAGTGATTGCAAATTACTTTAAGGAGATTGGTTCCTGCCATTGCTCTGAGAGGCAAGTGGTTTGCTCTGTGCCAGGATAAACAGAGCAGTTTGTCCTTTCTCTCTGTTTCTCTTTCCATCTCTGGGTGTGCGTGGTTATATGCAGTGCGGTATATAAGCTTGCAGACATACACATTTGTCTGCCCTCGTCACTTGGGTTGACACTTACGCCTTGGGTTCAGTGTGATGTATTTTTTCCATGAGAGAACTTGCAATGTTGTAACAAGGGACTGTTTGTTTTAGGGGGTGGAGGGGGAGCAGTTCATGGAAAGAGAGAAGTACTGACCAGACAGAAGAAAAAAGAGAAGAGATTTGCAATGAACTTCTATTTGTAAAAACTGTTTCTTATAAGAAGACAAAAAGGTACCATTGAATCATTCGAATATCAGGGTGCTAATCCTTGCATTTTAAGGTACATCATAAATTAAGTGTGTGCTCATTAACACTGTTTCTCAACCAGTTGACCCTGGTGGTCTATGAGGGTATTGCATAAAATCTGGGGGGAAAAAAATAAATAAATATGTGTAAATATTGACCTTTATTTGACAGCAGATAGGAAATGACAGGAGATAGAGAGGGGGTATGATATGCAACAAAGGTCCCCAGCTGGAAACAAACTGGGGACATTGCAGTTATGGGGTGTGTGCTTTAACCGTTCAGCAAACAGGATGCTCCATATGTATGTACTATATTCACTATTTATATTTGATTTGATATTTATTTTCTTGATAGGTTTTTTGAATCTCTGTTGCTCCAGTTCCAGTGTGCAATGGAAGCAATTTCACACCTGTTGCTAAATTGCATCTCACAAAAGCTGGTTGGCCTGCTCTGTTTATACATATTCAAAGGGCTAAGTGACTTGAATGGGGTTATTACGTAAAGGTGGAGTCACAAATGTGCCAGGTACCAGGCTCCTTCAGGCATTACAAGGGTTCGAGTACTGAGCTACTCTAAAGTGTTAAAAATCCTGTCAACATATTGACTGTTGTTTGAAATGCATCACACCTTGGATAAGCACACCAGTGATAAAAAAAAAAAAAAAACGATTTGTCAGGGAGTTGGATACACCTCCTGATCGAAAGTAAGACTTTCTTTTTCACATTCACACATCACAGCGAAAAGAGGACAAGCTGTGAAAGATCAATCTCAAAGACACCTCGGGCCCTTAAGAATGAAATAAAGCAAACATGTTGTTTACATGCTGGGATTTAAGTTATGCTAATACTTTGACAACACCGAACATCTTGTGCAGGTTAAGAATCAGGATCTGTGAGACGGAACAAATTTCCCAAAGTGCATGTCTGAGCTTTAATATTGTCAAAGATGAATTGCTCCTCAAGCCAAACTGATTACTTGCATCAAAGATTGCTCTGCTACGGCCATCAAACCGATGATGAAAATTACACGTTCATGAAGATCACTAGAGGCAGAAGTGCTTATTAATTGCATTGCCTCAGCAGCTTTCAGGTTTGTTTATTTACACAGTTTATACCATAATAAACCTTCCTCCTCTTTTTATCAACTTCAATAGATGTTGGTGTAATAGGAAATACTGCAGTTCGGAACCTTACAGATGTCATGCCGTATGTTGATTGCACCACAATGCTGCTTTGTTGTTTGTTTTTTTTCCTCACATTTCATAGTCACAGTTCCTGTGGTCTCAATAATGTGTGTTAACAGTCTGCAAAAATGACAAACAGCTTCGTTCCCATTAAGATGCATGTATGCTCCAAATAAATGCATTGGCCCTATAGATATTGAATTATTGTGAGCATATTGTGTGATTATCAGCAGCCACGTTGAATGAAGAGGCCTGTGAAATATATGACACATTCACACATAAAGATAATGACTTTATGTCAGAACTTAAAGGCTCCGTTAACTTCAGTTTATATTATAAATAGAAAGATGAAATTCACAAAGCTAAAAAAAATACTTTATTTCTCTCCCTGTCATCTTCCACATTGTGCTCTCCTTTATCATTGTATCTCCATATGTCAGGATAAATTATGCATGCAGAGCTAACAACAAAGCCCAGCCAGGCATATAATTAAAAAAAAGAAAAAAGAATCACCTCAGCATTTTTTCAACTGTGGAACAACAAAAACACGTCCTAAATATACAATGTCATGCATAATTGGATAGGATCAAAAATGTGGTGCTATCATATAGAAAACTATCCGTGACGGGAGATTTGCTGTTCAAAAAGATGACAAATCCCACTCAGTTACCTCTGATCCAACTGACAAAGGGAAAAAGCAAAACATATATATTTTATACTCCCTACCTTTTAACACCTGCAGCGGATTCACAAACTCCCTAGAAAATAAAGTATGATCTGTTCAAAGTGAGTGAAGGCAAAACATACTGAGGGTCAATATCACAGATTCTGCCTAACAGGTGTTGAGAAGAAAAGCGTTGGTAGTGTCAACATGTTATCAGAAAATAAAGTGATCTCATTAATGCACCTAGCACTTCAGCATATATATATGTATATGTATATATATATATATATATAGCACAGGGATGTAAAAACACCCACAATACCATATGACGAATTGGAAAACTGCTAATGAGTATCAGTAACTCATGGTCAGCTGGTGAATAATAATAGCAATTCAAGAATATGAATTATAAAATTATTAGTATTCATGTCTGAGTGATTGAACGTGTAGAAGGAAAAAACCCTAATTTTCCTGCCTGTCATCATTTGTCTTTGTAATTATACATTATTATTAAACTGATTAAACGACTGCCACAATTCTGAAAGCAAGAGAGATTCTACTTTTCTAAAAGATCAACAATCATGACGAGTTTTCAACCATCCCACAGTGCCGAAGATCAATGATCAGTGTAGTTTTAGATCTTTCAGTGTGAGACCCCCCCTGCTGTGACGCCCTGCCTCAACATCTCAGGTTGGAAAGTCAGATAAATTTTTTAAATCTCTTCTCAAAACTTATATGTGTGTTGGAAGATAAATAGGCCTACCACTCTCATAACTGGAAGCTAAATATGTAGCTGGAGCCAGAAGCTTGTCAGCTTAGCTTAGCATAAAGACTAGAAACAAGGGGAAATAGCTAGCCTGATTTTTTCTGAAGGAAACAAATATGCCTAAGAGCAGCTTTAAAGCTCAATTATATTTGCTTATCATTGACAATTCGCTGGGGAGGTTCTGTGCAACTGGTCCTAGAGAGAAATAAGTTTGACACATGATCCATGTAAAATTGCAGATTTCCATTTTTAGACTTTGGTTTTCTTGTACTTAAGTAAAAGTAGCTGTACCACTGTTTAGAAATACTCATTACTTAAAGCAGCAACAAGGAACTTTCATTTTGTGTTTCATGATTCTGGCAGCCCCAGTGGACAAATGTGATAGTGTTTCCATCTCCTCGTTTCATCGATTTCAAGGGGAATCTGACTAATTCTGACCCGTTGGTCATTAGGAATAACTACAGAAATAGCCAATCTTCTCACTGATGGTCTTGTTTGAATAAATAGGTCATACAAAGGCATCAGCATTATTCTGTTTCATAATTGTTTCCTATACTATCCCAGAACAGTTTTTGTTTTTTGCAGTCACAATCATTTCTGAGCTGTATTCAGATGTTTGCAATTTGCAACTTCACCACTAGACGCCACTGAATCCTACAGACTGCAATCATACCTTTCTTTTATCTACTGCCCATTTTTATATATTTTTTATGTTGTTAATAAAGCCTGTCGCAGTCTGTATTAATGAACAGGAAGTGACTCTTCCTCTGACAAATACGAACCACAATGACATGTTCATCCATCCCCTGAACATGTCGATGATGTTATTCCTTGGAAAACAGCACTGATTAGCGATCATGCATTGCTACCAAGGCTTTTATTTTGCAGGGTAAGCTTTCAAATTAAGCCCAACAAGTACAGTTTTTCTTGAACATGAAGCAGAAGTGACAAACCCCAATTTCCACATGGGAATGTATCTGTCTGATCAGTAATGAAATGAGTGGGGCCTGTTTTCCCAGCAGTGCTTGAGCAAGAAGATCAACTTAGTGCCAGTGTAAGCTTATGCATAAAGATGATGATACTGCTGAGACGCTTCTGCTTAATTGGTCTTTGAGATGTCATACACTTAAAAAAATAAAGAGCCTTCAGGCACAATCCACTTGAAGCCCAAATCATTTGTTCATTTCAGGGTTCCTCTTCTCTATATTTCAAAAATATGTTAAGTTGAATAAGTTCAAAACTTGCTTTGAATATTCTTTTGGCCAGAAATTCTTTTGACCATATAACTTGTTAATGTTATAAGTGTAACTGTAATGCTACTGTATTTAACATTTAACATTATTGATGTAAGCAAACCTGGGCCTGTATTAATCAAACTTTAAAGAATCACTCTTTATTCTTTAAAGACTATTTAAAAAGTTCTGAGTCTGAGCAATGAGACACTTTTATCAAACAACTTACTGTAAAAATAACCTTTAGGAACAGCTTTTAATTGGATGATTAATGATTAATCACATGTGCTCAGAGCTGGAATAGTCAATCAAACACAAGGATCATCCACATTCTTCATTAGTTGTTTTAAAAGACCTTTACATTTTACTCTGTGATATGTTTATTCTGCAAATTTTTTATTTGTATTTTATTTTTTCATACTTAATATCAATAACAATTAATGTGAAATTAAAAGCAATCTTATTTTATAATATATTTAGATGAAATAATGAGAAAATTTTGCTGAAATGGAAACAAAAAGAAAACCAAACTGGAGCAAGAAAGAAATTCTGCAGCTGGAGATCAATGTACATCAGACAATTTAGTACCACGTTGACATGCAAGACAGTTAAGACACATGGAAACTGCTTGCAAACATAATCAGCTTAATAGTCAGCTTAATTTGTGTTGTTTGCGGCGCTTTAAATGCAAAAATGTAACAAATCAAATCAAATAGTAGGTTAAAACTCTTATACACATTGCTTCAGCTATTGTGCTCATTATGTCCAATTACATTTTCCATAATCACTCAAAAACATGTCTCAAAAGGTATGCGTTCACCTCTGTTTCTGTACTGCAGTCATCTCAGATCTTCTCTCAACCAGCTTAAGAGACCTCTCCTAAATTTAAAAGCATTTTTAAGTTGGAAGAAATTTCATTAATAGATTTTATTAGATACAAATTCTATAAGAATTTGACCTTTTATATTTAACTTATATCCAAAACTGAATAAATACAGGCTTTTAAGGCTCACTTGACCTGAATACTTCCAAAAAACAAACTAGGATTTGCGTCTCTCGTAGTCTACACTGTATCATATTATATATAATCAAAATTAAAGAAGCTCTAGTTTTCTTTCTGCATCCTGAGTTAAACTTTTTTGAATGTCAGTGGCTTCCTCAAAGTGCAAGTCAATCACCAGTCTCAATTGCAGCCTGAATGTGAAAAGTAGGCAATATTACAGCCGCCTGAACACTGGGCAGACCTTAAATTGGCTCTCTCTCCCAAATACAGATGCAATGAATTTCACATGGGAGCTCTAAGAACAAAGTGCTCTCAATAACACTGTACTCCACTCACACACACACACACACTCTTTCTCTCTAACTCCTCTCCCCACACACACACACACACACACACACACACTCTCTCTCTCTCTCTGTCTCTAACTCCACTCACACACACACACACACACACACACACACACACACACACACACACACACACACACTTGCAGATATGTGTATGCCTCTGTAGAGCATTTTCTTCCTTTATGTACCAAGCACTAAAAAGCTCATACAAAATGCTGTAAACATCATCCTCATACGATATTATATGAATACAAAATTACACAAATCTGTACACTGTTTACATTTTTCAATCAAATATGTGCCTATTACAATGTGATTTTGGCTAGTTTGTACAATGTCTTTAGACTCCAGTCCAAGCTATATTCTGAGTTTTAGACTTCTGAGACACTCCATCAGCTCCAACTGGCCCAGGATCAGCAATCTCCAACTAAAAAAACGACCTCTTACTCCATGGCCAGGTCGACCCTGTCAGGTGTCATTGGCCCCGTCTTGACTGAGATCCACAAGTCGTCAGTATTGGCCGAAGTCTTTTTCTTCTTCGTTTCTGACTTTGCTATTGCCATGGTGTCTCTGCTGCAGCAACAGCAGCAGCAGCCGTTGGCATGGCGACAGCAGCAGCAGTGGCAGCACAACACCAAAGTAGTGAGGAGGACCAGCAGGGGAAGAGTTAGGAGGACCACCAGGCAGATTGTGTTGTAGACCCCCTGGTTGTGTTTGTATGTAGCGAAGCTCCACAGTTGGTTGAAAAAATCCTGAATGCTTTCTGTTTTACCATCCATGGCTTTCAGATACAGGGCTGCGGCTCCTTTTAATTGAGTCTGTCTGGCAGTTGTAAAGATTTAATAAATGCTTTAGAGGATTGTTTGTAAGTCAGTAAATGTGCATATAAGGCAGCTGGAGACACCAAAATAATTGAGATATGGTGTTAATTTAAGATAAAAGTCCTTTTACGTAATCTGGTTGGAGCTTTAAAGTTTAAACATATGAAGTTTTACTCTCAGTGTTCAGCACAGCATCAAACAACCACCAGCCCAACAGGTCTCAGGTCAGATATTTCTATTAATAGTCATTAGTAAGTTTAGATAGTTTCCCTGAAATTAGCACTATCTACCTTCAAGGCTTGTGGTGTTTATGTTCACTGGAAACACTGGAAGCATGGAGGGTGACTGCATGTATGCCTCCTTCCTTTAAAGTGTCCTATGACATGGTTTCAAAGCCGAAGCATTCTTGAAATAAATCCAAAAGACCAGAAGCTCATTTGTTTGTAACAAATTCTTTGAAATTGCCCAGTTGCAATGATTCTGATCTTGATGGACGAGGGAAAAGTTTGTTTATGTTGCTTGGCATTCCAGCAACTATTTTCTTGTTCTTTGTCTTCGCTTGTCCTCTTGCCCTTTGGCTTTAGGTTTAGTTTATTCCAGCTGTAGAGAGGTGGTTCAATTTGGGTGTGTCTGTGGAGCAAAAAAAAAGAAAAAGACAAAGTGAACATGGAGAGAAATTTGGTTTTCAGCAGACAGCTCGTCTTCTTTCCCTCTTTCCCTTCCCTGCCTCCAATCCATCTTTCTGTCTCTGTCTTTAACGTCTCTACTCCTGCTCTCTCCCCCTCGTCAGTCTCAGCTTCAGATTTTCAGCTTTCCCCTCATTAATACTGCAGAAGAGTCATTCAGGATTCAGGGCAGATCTCTCTAAGAGTCCCACTGAGAAAGAACAGGGCAAACAGAGAGAGAGAAAGTAGGATTAGGATGAAATGGAGGGAGATTGTGTGTGAGGGAAGGCCAGACAGAGATGGAGGTAACCAATCTCTGTAAGAGTCCCGCTGAGACGAGAGAGTGTGACTGAGGGGGGGGGGACATCTGAATATGCCCGGCTAATGGTTCCCATTGGAGGAGATTGGTGGGACCTGGCTTAAGTTTTCAGAAATTTCTGATTGTAACATTTTCCTCAGATGAAATCTCCTCCTAACAGCTCTCCTTTTACTGGTGAGGCGGGTCTGCAAAAGAAAAGTCAGTCTGAGAAATAACAGTCATATTGTTCCCTTTTCTTTGAGAATATTGTTTGATTAAGTCTGACACCTTGAGGCGACATCTTTATCTAAATGGTGTTTAACAACTGTTTGACTCAAGTATTGTCTCTTAAATTCTCTATAGCTCACGGCTACAGAGCTTCTTTGTATTCTAGATGCAGGAGGGAGAAAAGATTTCCATCTCACATTTGGCTGCTTCTTAGGTATAGAGAGCGAGAGGAAGATGCACCTGCAAGTGGAGAGCAAATAGATTTTGCGCTGCTGTTGCCGTGCGTTGTGTCTCATGTGTGAAATTGGTTTACCAGCAGTCTGCTAACTTCCCTCCTGTTCATTTGCTCAACAGGAAGCTGAGTGCTTAAAGCTAAGTAGTAGCAAGCATCAGCTGAATATATAAGAGCAGTCTAATCTCTAAAAGCAGATCTGGTCTAAAATAATCACATGTGAAGCTGTAGTTGTTGCCCTTTGTTGTTTTCTTGTTTACTTATTTTTATAATAAAGTTTAAAAAGCAAGGGCACATATGCTGTGCATTGTTTTTTTTATCTTAGGTGCAAGCTAACCACTCATGTTTTGATCTTTACATCATATACTTGTGGTTAACAGTCTGTGTGCTGGGACCCTCACAAGCGGTCACCACAAACCTGAAAGGTCACGAGGTGATTAAGAAATTAATAAAATAGAAAAAAAATATTACACTATATACTACTACTTGCAGCAGAGTTAGTTTTTCTATTACTTCTGTTTTGTTTTTAATTTGTGTTTTCAGTTCAGTTTAGTTTCAGTTCGTTTCCAGAGTGGGTTTGCTCAATCAGTTTAGTTTTTATTGTTCAAAAATGTTTAGTTTTGGTTTCATTTTTATTCATTTCAGTGTTTTTTTTTTTTTTTTTTTTGGTGGTGGTGGGGTTACAATACAATACAAATCTATTTACTCGTGTAGACATCCCAGTCTCAATAAATAAATTAATATAAATAAAATAAATAACTATGCTTGTTGTGTTGACAAATTTGACCAAATTGACAAAGACTTAAACTGAAGACATTTCCTGTGTATTTTTATGTAATTTTAGTTCAGTTTAGTTTAGTTTTTCTAAGTAACCTACAGAATAATGTTTCAGTTTAATTTTTATATCAGTTAACAAATAATGCTTTTTCAGGCCTAGTTAAATTTTTTGTTTAGTTTTAGTTAACTATAATAACCTCGGTTTGGAGTTTGTACATTCTTTTTTACTAGCAGGAAATGATGCAATACGTGTGCTGTGCAAAGAAAAGCCAACTGCGACTTCAGAATGCCACTGCCAATTAATCTTGTTTTCCCAGGAATACACCAGTTACATTTTGTTTTCTGAGGTGTTCCTGGAGCTGTTTCACCACCATCAACAATTAGTTTAATATTTTGCAGCTGTGAGAAACTCCTCCACTTCCTTTGTGCATTGAATTGACGGAGAACAGTCGACAGCACATTGCATTTCTGTCTGTACACCATCTTCTTTGACTGTATTTTGTCACTTTTCTTGACATATCTTCATTTAAAGGGGTCATGGGCCATAAACGTTGGAAACCACTGTACATAAAATATGTTTTCATCCAACTGATTTAATATGTTTTCAGAAAAAAAAGTTCATTAAAATCAGAATGTGACTAACTGCAATGGAAACAGACATAGCAAATAAATAATGACATAGATGATTTTAACATCATTCAGACGAAAACATCAGCAGTGTAGACTGACATTGTCTTGCTTCCTCTAGCAATGTTTTAATCGCACCCTAATGGAGGCCACCAAATGTTTTTCCTGGTGCGTCTGAGTCCTTATATTCACAGTAGTAGATGGAAACATGCATTAATTCACATTTTCTTTTCCAAAATGTGAGCTTCATTTGAATGGAAACTCCATCATAAACTATACTGAAGACGGTGCGGGTTGGTGGGAGCCGTGGTGTCAATTCAACATTACTCCTGATTATTTTCTTTGCTGTTGGTACATGTTGTTGTGATGAGCTTGGCTGAGCAGCAGCACCTTTGTGTACACTCTGATCTCCCTCACATTATGAAAACACTGTCAACACGACAAGCCAGAGTCACTCAACAATAAGGCTGCAGGAGAGGGACAAGGGCCAGGAGCAAAACAGAGGTGTGATCTAGCAATATAAAAAGGGATGACTAACAGTGTATCAGAGGTAAAGTCATTAAATGGAATGTATAAGTCACTAGGTGTTATGATTGTTATAGTCTCTGGCCAGGAAGAATGAGATCACTGTAAGTTATGTCTAAACACGGGTATTGTCAGTGTCAGGAAATGGAAAAAAAGGATTCCTCGATCAAAACTGTTCAGGTCAAAATAGTAATTTTAGTATTAAAATAGAATATTTTCCAGCTCAGGTGGTTTCACACTTGGGTGTTCAAACGTTTCTTGAAGTAAACACTTTGATTGCCAGTGTTATTGTGCCAAGAATCTCTTTTGCAGTACTGTGAGAGTTCACACTGTAAATGTTGATGACGCATGTCTGAACTGATGTTAGTTTGTGGTTAAACCAAGGTACAGAATAGAAGAGGTCATTTATAAGGAGAATATAGTCATATACTAAAAAAAGACGGGAATATTTCCCTGGTTTATCATCTCACTGAGATCCCCTTCTAAGACACTGACCGGGTACTTCACTTTCTCATGACACTGTGCTCTCCTGGAGACATTTATGTACAGGAAAAGGCCATTTCTGGGGCACACAAAGCCAGGAAGGGGCTGAGAAAAATGTTATGATTGCACTCAGTTAGCCCTTGCTGCTTTCTTTAAGGAGCATGTGCGACCTAAAAGACAAAGTTGTGACAGAAGGCAAGGCAGAAATCTTTAATGACTCGCCCCGAGCACATGGTCAGAGCAGATTCCTCATCAGTCAGTATTAATACACAGTTCTTGGACACTTGAGTCAGCCACCAACAAACGATTAAAGCCATACTCCCTCCTTTTTCACAGGAATCATGAGCTATCTTGGATCACTAAGTGCAGCTGTTTCGCTTGGGTAGCTACAGGCCTGCTGGTAGTCTGGAGGAGTCCTCCACAGTGAGCCAGAGCAAGTGCACAAGCCCAAGACAGTTCAGGCTTGTGACAACTCAATCCTGACAAAGTGGAGGACATTCTTTCAGGAATGTCTTTAGAGGTTTTTTTTGTAAAAAGGTTTATTTTGAAAATAAGAAATGAATTAGAGGGGCATGTTATAGTGACACTCAAACACAGCACTCATAGGCAGGAAGAAACTTAACGCTTATCGTTGTAACTTGTCAAACATCCTGTCAAATCTAACCACAGAAGCAGCAATTGTGTCTCTGTTTCCCTACAGCCACACAACAAAAAGCACCAACAGTTATATAAACCACTCAGAACAATTTCAAAGAATTTTCGAGATGCTGGCACTCAAGATCTCTTTGAAAACGGCATCTTACCCCGCAGGCACTTGAGAAGCGGCAGGTCAGCTCTCCCCTCCTGTCTAATCCAGTCAGCTGCTCAAACTTCTGTTGTTTCTCTTTTGGCATCTGGCTTCTGCTCTGTTCTGGTCCCCCCCTCACCAAGAGATCTTGACAAGTCTTCACTTTCTGTTCCTGTTTCCCTCTCTACCCTTGTTTCCCGTCCTCCTCCTCCTCCTCCTCCTCCTCTCTCTCTCTCTCTCTCTCTCTCTCTCTCTCTCTCTCTCTCTCTCTCTCTCTGCGTGAGTGTGTGTTTTGATCACAACGTCACTGAACCCTGCCCACTTTGTGTAATAATGGGCCCTCTGTCTGTGCTCGTGTGTTTCCTGCATGGCAAACTGGATTCTTGTGGTTGTTTTACTTTACTCACACAAGCGGTGAATGATGTCAGACAGAGAGGGAAAGTACAGTAAACTGAACATGAAATGAAATCATTAGAAGCCTTTATTAAATGTATCTTAGAACAAATATTATAAATAAAAGCTCGCCTCCATGCACTGATCTGAAACCTTGCAACAGCAGCCTGAATATTTGGAGCATTTTGCACTAAATTACAGCTCAAACAGAGACCACTCCACCCATCTCAGAGCTCCAAATGGCAATAAAAAGGGGAAACGAAAGCTGCAAATCACCAGGTGAGAGCATTGGATGTAATTGTGAGATATGAAAAAGTGAGGTCATGTGAGAGACACATACACACACACACACACACACACACACACACATTAACTACCCCTTTGGCGTTGTGGCCAATGCCCTTTCAGTTCAGTCAAGCAAAAGAGGACTTTTATTCAAGTAAGAAAAAGGGAAAAAAAAGTCTATGTACTCTCAACGCCTCAAAGGGGAAGTTAATGTCCATTGACTTGAATACTGTATATGTACTCAAAAACAGTATCACATGAACCTGCAGTACAGTGAACTCAAAAAGTGGTTAATGCGGGCCTGCATAGTCAGGTTACATACCCACTTTGAATTCCCTTTAAAAAAATATTTACATTAAGCTAAACTGTTCCTTCTACAGCGTCAGTCTCCAAATGAATCTTTAAATTGATTAAAAAAAATAATGAATGAGGCACTTTACATGTCCAAATAAGAATTTTGATACTATGTGTCCTTCATCTGAAATATGATGAGATCACTGCTATTTTGCAAAGATCTACTGCAGCTACTGTAGATGGAAAAATTTTCTCTGATAATCTTGAAAACACATTTCATGAGCATCTGACTGGCTCTACATGCAGCGTGTTTCTTCGTAGCTACGGGGCATGGTTACATGAAAATTGATGAGACAAGCTTCATCTTGTCCGCAGGTGTGTCTGAGCCATCTTAGACAAATAGCAACCAGCCGCCCACACACACACACACACATACACACACGGACAGAGAGCAGAGAGGGTGCTGTCTGACTGGCAGGGCGTGTAGTGCTGCACAGTGAAGCTATATCACAGCTGCTGTAGAGGCACTACAGTGTCCAGTCACCTCGAGCAAGTGTTGATTAATGACCAGAGTGTAGCAGCACTTTCCTTGATGGAAATCCTTCTTTACAGTCGTTTACATGAAAATGATTTCACTATATCTTCCATTTCCTGCTTTGACTTCTAACTCCTGACATAACTGCTTGTAAAAGTCATCTTTTCATTGTGTAGATCTTCTGCATGCACTGATACCCTTTTATACATGCAGGGGTCATTTGAAAATCTCAGATTTGATCTGCTTTTCAACCATGAGAAGGCATGAGGAGTGATCTGATCAGTTGGATCTTCTGCAACAATGTGCATTTTCAGGTCTGCTGTAATTCAAAAACACAAGGCTATGTGGCTGCCTCGGTACAAACGAGCAGTAGCTGCTGGGTAAATGCACGACGAGGGAAACTGTATTATTTTGTTCCATGATGGGGACTTTTTTTGTTCTGATATTATAAGGACCCATTGTTCCTTCCCTTTTCTCTGAGGATACCTTATGTTCAACTTACACTGCAGTGACCCTCGTACGCGTCCCATTTCCTCCATGGAAATGTTACTCTCAATTTATACTTCATTGACCCTGTACTATAGCGGGTGTAGCTCCCATCTGGTTTATAGAAACCTTATTCTTAGTCAAGCTCACCTATAAGGGAAAACAATATATCCCTTCATCCAGCGTGGGTCTGTAGCTGAACAAATTATAGGAAAGACCACTGAGCTCACACTGGATCACTGATCGTACAATCATGATAGCATAGAGACATCATGGAATTACTGGACTGTGCAAAGGGGCATTACAAATCATTACAACCTACTGGTTCTGCCACCACACACTGAAATATGAGTGAGCATGAACCCAACACTGTGCACTTTGTGAGTTCTTCAACATGAGCGCTAATGAAAAGTGACTAAAGGGTTGCTGTAGTGGAATCTGACAAGTGTCCAGAAATAGTCTGCTAATAAAACCAGTCCCCCCAGAGGAAAACCTTAGCGGTGATTCAGTCCCGTAAAATGTTTGGGCCCAGTGCTGTGAAAACAGGCAGAGAGCATGACAGGGAAAGACATGATTAGTCTATATAAGGAATTGTCTCTTGCTCTTAAGAAAAGCCATTATTGAAGAGCTATTGGTTGGCATGTAAACTTAAGGCTTTTACAAGGGTACCTAATTGCACATTCCAGCTATGAGGTCAGTCTGAGCTATTTTAACATTCAATTACGTAATAATCTCAGCATAGTTACCGTATGACACAGGCTGTCTTCTAGGACGAGACAGTATGTTAAACATTTCTTTCTTGGCTTGTGAAGAACAGAATTTTGGTCTATTCTGCTGCATAAATAAATGAAGGGTGTCACTGTGAGCAGTAAGGCAAGTATTTTCCAGAGTGTTTAAATATAGTCAGCAGGGACTTTCTAAGTTCCTCTTTGCTCACCAGTATTTCTAAATACAGCAAAGCAAAATGAGACATCGTGGGACTAAAAAGCAAGTCAAGTTAGCCATCGTTTTAGGTTGCCATGGAAATAACAGGACAAAAAATTGATGAATAATTTAAAAAAAAATGTGCAAAATGCAGCTGATAGATATGTAACCTAGGTTAATATAACCCTAATACAAATGGTTAAATAAATAATAAATATGATGTAAGCTAATAAATAACATTAAAGAGGTACATACAGTATGATACAATATATGAGTCAGAATGCAAACAATGTTTACTGTGCAACCTAGTAAAGACATAAAATCATACTGGAAATTGAAACTAGTATATTGGTTGATCCATTATATCACCCAGCACTAATGTCTACTATTAATATTTACATAAACAAGCTGACCATTCAAACTTACCTCTCGGTCTGTGGTCTGTTATTTCTGCTAGGTCCTAGCTATCTGTAAATATCTGCTACAGACAGACAGACAAACAGACAGACAGACAGAGTTCAAACAGGACCTTGACAGTGAAGCATTAAGGCAGATTAATGCTACATTATAATTGCTGTGTCATTATCTTTTACAGTCAGATGCTGACTAGTGTTTCCTACAGACAGAAATGTCTGATCTGTCTTACAAGATAAACACAGATATTAACATGACCATGTGTGGCCGTGGGATAACCGAGAAGTAAAACACACTTGTATTATTGACTTGTATTCAGTGTCACAGCCGTTTCAGTGAAAATGATAACAGAAATTATTTAGATTGAAGCAGATTCTTATTTCCTAATTTGTAGCTACAGGAACATTTTAACACAGGAAGGTTCAATTAGGGAAAACTAAAAGAACTTTTCTTTCAAAACCCTGTTCAACTTCAATTAATATCAGCATGACAGTAACTGAATATTTTGCTTGCATTCATCTCCTCACTGTGTCATATTCCCCATCTCATTATTATCTCAGTATACAGTTTCTCTCTCAGGTAATCGCTGTTACAAAACAGACAACACTTGACATCAGAAATGTATTTTTACTCACTGAGCTAAACAGAAACTTTGAAACAAACTTGTGAACATTTCTGTGGGTTTCCTTAGCCTTGATGAGAAGCCCAAACCTTGTGACACTTTAACTACTTGTGTGTGTAACCAATGACTTTTTACAGTTTGAAGTTAAGATGCTGAGATAAACCAAGAGTTTTTCCCTTCAAGTATGGAGACTGACATTCCTGACATTCCTTGTTTATTCCTGGTCCTCAACTACAAATGCTAAAAACATACCATGCCATTAAAGCATGATTTCCATTCAGTTCAGTTCAGTTCAAACTGAATGGAATTAAGGCTGAAATGCACTCTCAGATGGTAAATACTCTCTCAAAAACACCCCCACATAAACACACACCTGGCACTGTGCCTTCTGCAAAAAAAAACCCTCCCCATCCGAAGTCTTGAGCATGTTACATCCTGTAGGTGATGTGATAGAGTACAGAATAAACTCTCTGCTGAGCTTGTCCCTCAGGTCAGTGCAGCCTTGAGAGACACTTTCATACTGTATGTGTGTCAGCACTCATATCTGAATGGCTCCTGAGGACTTTGTGTAGTTCAGCTGATGCAGGGAGGGGGCATTAAGGAGCTCTGCTGGCACACTGCAAAGATCAAACTCCATTTTCTATTTGGCCTTAAATCATAAGTAGAACATTGCAAAGCAGGAAAAACAAATTTGAGACAAAAATAGCCCAGAATATGAACACAGTTGAGCCAAACGCACACGATGGCTATAAAATGAAAAGAGCAGAGAATTTGACATCATGTAAATCAGTGAACCAGAGAGTACACAGATCAAAGGGGCATGGGGGTATGCTGGACAAAAAGGTTGGGAACCGATTATTTATCAAAAATAACAAATGTACACAGATGAGAGGGCATTAGAAGTGTGGCTTAGTTAATAACAATAAACAGTATATCCAGTTCATCTCTTCATCATTGGTGCACTCTTGGTTATTTCTTCCCCTGGAGTCCACCTGTCAGTCTACTCACAACCTCACTGTCTTAACCACGTCAACTCATGTCTACATTCACAGGCCAACCCATTCAAGAGGTAAAAGCATGAGCGCGATGCATTTAATGAATTCTGTATCGGTTCGGTTTGTGGATAAAGCCTGAGCAGCTGCAGAAAGGAAAGACTTAGAGGTGGATTAAATCTAAAATGTGTAATATAATATATGTTAGTGCAGGGCATAATTGGTCAGTCAGTATTAGTACAAAAAAAAGGATAA